GAAAGATTTGATTATTTGTTTGTAATGGATAAACTCAAAGAGTACTTAACCGATTTTAAAAAATTCTTTCACCAGTAGTAAGCTACATTATCAGCATTAATACAGGCTACACAGTATTTTCGAAGCCGCGGCGGACCGCTAGTAATCTATATAAATAAAAATATAAAAATAAATTGCCAAATGTATGTAAGGGCATCACTTCAGAACATCTACACAGATTAAGGTTATTTAATTATATTTTTTGTATGAAAGAAAATTATTGAAAAATCATACAGAAAACTAAAAAAATTAGTTAAATTTAGAAGAAATTTCATCTCATTTTCTTCATTAGTATACCCATATGTTTCGAGGACAGGCAGTTAATATAATACGATAAATAATTAGTTGATACCTTTAGATTACATAATACCACCTTCACTATCACTTCTAAATTCACAATGTACTTCATACGAGTATACCTGTATTTATAGCTATATATTTAAGCAAATATTTAGTACTCTCTCGATTGATTTCTAAGTGAGTTCTCTACATCGAAGCTAATATTTTATTGAACAGTCTCACCGCATTCGTATATATTTCTCGACAACAGTAGATCACAGTGGTATCGATTACTGTTAATTGAATTTCATCATCCGGCCCTTGTTTCACTTCCATTAATTATGGAATCTCGACGTAATCCTCTGTACGCTCAATAGATTACTGATAGCTTCCACCTTCTAATTATTACGTAGTGCTTAAAGCTTCATTATAGCATTAGTGCAAGTCAGTTATTCGATTAAGTGACAACACTGTTTTATTTTTATGAGTGGATTCAAAGAAAATAATATATTTACTACATAAATCTCGCATTTATTACAAAAATTATAATAAAAATTATCCTTTATCTTAATTTACGGCTTTGATTGAAATTTAGTACTTAAATGCACAATTTAAACTTGTGTACCAAAATTAAATCAAATTATATATAGTAGATACAAATTTACTTTTGTATATAAAAGACAACTGCATTTCTAATGCTATCCCGCTCAAATTTCTGCCACTAAGAGGCTATGTTTTAATAAGTAGTTTTGTTTCTAAAAATTGTTAAATCATTAGGAAACTACCTTCATTAAAAGAAATAATATTAAACATTTTTTTTTTACAAATATGATGTCTATAAGCAATGGCACCGAGTTAATCAATATGTACCTATATTTACTGAAACAATAATATTGGGCCAATATCATCACAATTATTCTCAGCTAATGATTCGTTGCAGTGGGGACTGAATGTTTCCATTAAGGTTAATGGAGTTAATCGCCACGACTCTAATGGGTGATTGGGTCCCGCAGTTTCCCCATAATTCCCATCCAAATAATTTGGCCCTGGTACGGTTCAGTACATTTTCTAACATTTAATGCACTTCCTTATACTTAACAAACAAGCTTTATTAATATTATAAATGAAATTTCGAAGCGGAAAAGGTTTGAACCCAATCCTCTATGCCATAATAAATTACTGTGTATAAAGGAATATTTGTAAATATATTTTCATATTTGGATGTTTACATATTTGTTACCCAAGCACATTTCAGTATTTGAATAGATTTGAATGAAATTTGGTATGCAGCGAGACCACATTCTGAACCGATACATAAGTGTTCATATTACCTTTATTAGTGTAGATATAACCATTTACATAATAGAAACATGCCTATTAAATATTCATGAATTTCATTACAAAATGTACATGTGACAATGTATTATAACTATGTTTACGACAATAGCTTTTTGTCCACTACTTTGTAAGCGTGGATTTTAGAAGTAGGAAAACTAATGAAATAGGCATTACTAGATGACGTTTCAAGATAAAACATATTCAGATTTTTAAGTGAGAGTTTTTAGAGAAAGAGAGTCAGGAACATAACTATAGAAAACGCTTCTATTTGGTACAATAGTTTTTGGGTGAAAACAAACATAGAGACAAACAAATAGACAAAATTTCTAAAAAATATTGTTTTGTCTTCCAATATAAATTTTTCTTCAATATCTCCTATGTACTTGTACAGATATTGTCTAGTACAATTTTGTTATATTAGAATGGTTATTTACATTCATTTGATAATTATATATTAATGATTTATGTCTGATCTATTCTCACTGTGAAATAGCAATACGTTTTCAGCTTGTACAAACGTTTCAATATTACCCAGGGTCATAGTTAGACCCAAGTATGGTAAAAGAACATTTTGGTAACGCACAAACCATAATTAAGTGACTGAAAAAGCGAATCAGTCTAATTTTCTTGGATTTTAAAGAAGGGTATTGGGCCTTTTTATGTAGGAAATTTACCCGTAAATGCCCCCTCTCCACCTAGCTACGCCCATGGTACCACCTTAACAGCATTTTTGTCTATTAACCATTAAAAATGTTATATTACTGCTTTAAATAAGCTGCTACAAAAATGTTTTTTTTTTAACATACTAAATCTTATGATTTAAGATGAAATATTCAGATATTCTGTCATAATTAATGAAGTTGCAAAACAATAAATGCTTCTGAACAGTAATAATACGTAAACACGATAAAAACACAACATTTTCCTAAATAATCGTTAAAGATTCCATTACACGCAATTTATTGTGACACGAATGTTTACTTAAATATCGAGATAATGTAAAAAGTTCCCTAATTCTGCAGATATTAAGCGTAATGCCTGTTAACTTACTTTCCTATGAGATACTAAATGGGCTTACAATTTGAAAAGTTTCCGAAGTCTCCGAGGTCCATTTGTATGTCGAAAGAAAACTGTTCAAAATTATTTGACATTCGAGGTGTGCGTAAGAGGAAAATCGGGGGAAAACCCAAGTTGGCTATAACAATGTAACCTACTTTACCTGACCATTTTAGCTCTTGAGAACAATCTTGATTTTCCTTTCCGATAACAACGATAATATTTGGGCAACAAAATACCCAAAAAATATTGAACCAAGAGCATACATTACTACCAGAAACCCTCGTAGAGTAGCATAAATAATATCCTACATTCAGGATAATATTGTCTATATACCAAATTTCATTATCTAATTGTAATGTCTATTGTATTTAAATAATACAATATTAAATAAAAATACTTCAGTGAATATTTGAATGTTTATTACACAATTACGTTCAAAAATCGGAACTAATTTGAACGAAATTCCATGCATAGATGAATCACAAGAACTGTAAGAAAGATTTATGTCTTATTAGCTTTTACCTGCAACTTCGTTTGCGTGACCGCAACTTGTTTATAGACCAGGATAAAAGAAAGTTATGTCCGCCTCCATCCAATATAGTGCATGTATATCAAATTTCATAATGATTGATTAAGCCGTTAAGATGCAAAATATTACTCTTCTTTTTTCCTTTGGCTGTTATCCTAGTTTATTTGTAATCTATCCTCTTAATATTTCTGCGCCACGCCGTACGGTTATGGGTTGTCATATCTTTTCTTTATTGTTCGCAACCAAGTTTTTGATGGTCGACCACAGCATCTTTTTCTTTTTCTTCATTTATAATATTACTATTATAATATTATAAATATTTAATTAGTTATTTTCTCTCGAACTGCATTGGGTTGGCTGGAAGAGATTTCTTTTAGAGATAAGCCCACCCTCGCTAACAAGTTGTTAAACTAATCGCTGTATCTTTTGTTCAAGTGCAATAAAGAATATATATATATTTATAATATTATAAATGTGAAGTACGTGAATTTACTGGGTACAGAGGAATAACACCTGAGTCCACAGGAATGGCAACGCATGGGGGGTATCATGGACGAAACAGTACACTCTGTTATGTCCACGGTACAGCTCATGTCTATAGGCGACGGTTACCACTTTCCATCAGGTGGACCGTCAGCTTTTTTTCCATTCTAAGTTGTATAAAAAAAAATGTAAATGTTAACTAATAGAGAATACTTATATTAAGTCAGTCTTTTGTACCACATTTTATTGGTCAATAAAGTTCAAATACATAAATAAATAAATGAGTTTGTGGATTATTTAGTATTTGTTAATTTCATCCTAATTAGCGCAATATCGCTATATACTGCTTGTTATATATAAATATAGCACCACTACAAAGGTCGAGTATTAAACTGGTAAATGAATGACAAGGTTTATTCACAATTTCTAATTAAATTGTTCAGCATCTAACTGTCAATCTATTAACCAATGGAGAATAATGTCGTCGCAAGATGACTGCTTTTAATTAATTTCCGGTATCCAGTAGCCGACTCAATTAAGCAGTAACTATAGGCCCCAGAATAAAGCATCCCAGAATTTCAATTTCATAAATCATTATATAAATACACTGAGGCATTGTTAGATAGGGTCTCTGAAGATTTGTACTTATCTATTTCCTAAGATTAATGCCTGTCATTATACCTATAAATCCGATTTTATAGCCCACAGTAATAGGCGTAGAACGAGGTAAAAACTTAATCTATGGTAATAATAGATCACTTAACTGATTGAAGTCTTGAATTGATCGATTAAAGATAGTACTTGCGAATGAATTACTTTGCCTTTTTTTACTACAATATATTTTTTTCGTTTTTTCATCGTCTCTCAATAGAACAAGGAACGAAGCCTATAAAGCCTAATCTGACACCATATTTTTTTTATAAATTTCATTCGAAACTAAATTTGAAACGTTACGGATAATCGAAAAAAAAAACTATTATTTTTCTTTATTATTAAATGTTGCCCAAGTATGTTTGCATAAATCTCATACATTTTTTTCTTTTTTCGAAGTATTGTTGTATTTGAAGTGATGTTCGCCTGATAGATATTAATTTTGTTAAAATTAAAGTCACTGTTTTTACGGAGTCAAATTTATACATAATTTTCACCCATTCAGTTGATACCACAAAGAACGATCGTATATTTTTTAACTATTTTCCAATAAAGATTTATTCGCAACAATAAATTATTCTCACTGGCTTTATTTAAATTTAGAACATGTTATAAAGTAAAAAATGATAAAGTGACGCGTGTCATCGGCCATAAAAAAATTACAAAATTAGCTTATATTTTTTTTATTTTGATATCAATCATTATGTATATTTTGGAATAAGGTATACCAGTTTATTTTGTACTTTTATTGATATGTAACATATTTTAGCCTTACTCATCCAGTGCACGATAATTTACATAAAAATAATTGTATTCATAAAATTAATACTTTTTTATTTTTAATCTAGAAATTTAACTACTTTATGCGGTTTTCTAAACTGTTATTTTTTAGTATTAAAAAACTTTTACTATTAGTGTAGTATCCAATTACAAGTATCATTATATTGAAGTTCTTATTTTTTTGTAGCTTTACATGACTGCTGCTAAAAATGATTGAAGCAGGCAACGCGGAAAATGCTACTGTGGAAACACAGCCGGCTTGTCCGGTTAGTTATTTATATCAATAGTAATTTGTAATTATATTTTCTCTAATCATTTACTTAAACATTTACTACCTATCTTTTGACGCTTTAATGGCTCAAACAATCATTCTAAATTATTAATATAATACATACATACGTACATACATATCTGTCACGACTGTCTCCCATTAGGGTAGGCAGAAACAATGGAACGCCAAATAAATAATTAATATAATATTTGCCATAAAGAAAGACATAAGAAATTTGCTGGTACTACTTGTAACTTTATTTACAATAATATTTTTAAATTTCCGTCTGTCAAGAATCTTTCAATTTCGGATATGTTCAAACGAAATAAGTATAAAGAAAAGAACTTTCTTTACATTCACACCTTTATTGGAATTTTATTTTATCATTTATTTTCTCAAAGCTTTCTCCCTTACTCATAAAAACATCAACTACAACTTCTCATAAACTAGTTTTAGCTATTGAATTGTTTTATCTCTTTCTTTTACACTAAATTCTCAATTTAAAAGAAAATGACGATACAATGTAATGTTTAAAGTAAATTTGTAAAAGGTTTTAGTTTTTATGAATAATTAAAACTACCTACCATGTATTTCTGTAATACTACTGGACTGTAAACACTCTTATTTGTGAAATTTTGTTATTGATTTGAAAACATTTTAAGAACATATCAAATTATTTATTAGCAAATATATTTCAATAAAATATTAGCGATTTTAATTTCGTCAGGATTTGCACGTATTTATTTATTTAAACTTTATTGACCAATAAATTGTAGTACAAAAGGCGGACTTATTGCTACAGGTATTCTCCACCAATCAACTTTCCAGATATGCATATGATAGATGGTCAATAGTTAATACTTATATATTTATTAATAAATTAAGTGCTTACAATGTTGATGGGCTAGGACGGTGCAGAAGAAGACAATGACATAGCACGTCCCGAAGCAACATTCCGTTTCACAGTGCAGAACATCAGCCAATTAAAAGAGCAAGTCTTATCGCCGCCTTGCTACGTAAGATGCCTTCCGTGGAAGATCCTGGTACTACTGCGTCACACTTCAACTCCAGAGCGGCAGCAGCAAAAGGCTCTGGGGGTATTCCTACAGTGTAATGGAGATTGCAATACACCCGGTTGGTCGTGCTATGGTTTGGGAGAACTGAAACTTCTCTCTTACAAGTCAGATGGCGTGCATTTATGTAGAAAGCTCCATCACATGTATCATTGGTTAGTAAAATATTTGCAATAATTTTTGAAAGTAGTTATGTTACGCGTTTTATAGCATTTTTATAATTTTCTGGAAAAAAAACGACTGTAAAAATGGTCCAAATGTGCTGTCTTTGTGCACATATCGATACTTCACCATCTATCATCAATAGGTGAATGATTATAATCCAATGAACTATAAATCAAAACATTGAATTCGACTCTTCATTTCTGCATAATTTTACAATATATTTTTTTATAACACAGAGGACAAACGAACATGCGGTTCGCTTGATAGTAAATAACTACCGCTATATCGAAAAAATTACAGGTATACTTTCTTAAAAAGGGAATATGCTCTTTTTGTGAAGGGTACAATTTCATATCAACTTAGAAATACAGCTACTAAAAGTTGTTTCCAAAGCATAATTATACGCGTAATATATCTAATAATTACAAAATTTAAACACATTACAGCAAAGAAGATGATTGGGGATTCGCTCACTTTGTTTCTTGGGATGACTTATTTGATCCAGAGAATGGTTTTGTCAAAGATGATTCAATTACAATCGAGGCTCACGTTATGGCGGAAGCCCCACACGGCATCTCTTGGGATTCTAAAAAACATACAGGATTTGTTGGTAAAATTATCGACTTTAATATATTACAAAACTATGCAACATAAAATGGCAAACAATCTGATGGCTCACCTGATGGAATGGTAACTGTCACTTATTAACAATACCATAGACATTACAAAATATACTGCCAGCTACAACCCATGGTTACTGTCATGGGTTCTCGTTTCTAAAAACTGCAGTGTTATGATGCAGTGTCCTGTGATTTCACAGCCATCGTGACTAATGTTAGAAATGTGAAAATGAGTTTGTATGTTTGTTACCTCTTAGCCTTTTAACAACTTAACCAAACACTATGGATGGAAAAAGGCATAAACTGGTATTTATATTTTTATCCCAGTTAGTGAACATATCTCGGTCACGTGGGTAAAGTCACGGGTAAAAGCTAGTATCCTCTATTTTATGAACGTATGATAAAATTTATTCGAGATAACAAGCAATTAATATCTTTTCTTAGTTCTATGATTAATATTCTATTATTCTTATTTTAAAAAATATCGTAATAAAAAATTGACAGTAGTCAAGTAGCTAGTTTTTCTTTTCCCTTTTTAGATAATAGTTTAATAATTGTCCCACATAACAGGATTGAAAAATCAAGGAGCGACTTGTTATATGAACTCACTCTTACAAACTCTATTCTTTACAAATGTACTACGTAAGGCTGTATACAAGATACCAACAGTGGGAGATGACAGTAGCCGGTCCGTGGCGTTTGCCCTACAACGCGTATTCTATGACCTACAATTCTCCGATAAACCTGTAGCCACTAAAAGATTAACGAAAAGCTTTGGATGGGAGACTCTAGATTCATTTATGCAGCACGATGTACAAGAATTTCTTCGGGTAAGCAAGGTTATTAAATCATAAATTGGTTGAACACTATAAAAATTTAAATAACAGGCAAAATGTAATTTTTACAAACTACAAGTATGTACCTACTATGTAAAATATACTATGTTTTAATCTAAGATACGTTACAATCTGTTTACCACATTTCATTGACATTCGTTCAACTGAACAACAGTAACAAACATTCTTACAAACCTTTATATTTATGATATTAGCAGAATATATAATATTAAAAGATTAAATATATAAGATTAACTAGTGTAAAAGAAGAAACACTCGGTATGAAAGTTTATACTGTCAGCCAGTGTAGTAGTATATTCTCCTCTTACAACCCATGCCCAGTAGTATAGAACTTTAATGAATTATTATGAGTATGTATGAATGAATTCAAACTATGTCAATCTATTTATCTTTTCGTCAAGACCCTTGTGGAGTATACATTGCTTCCTGCACTTTCATAATTGGTCTCACATTTTCATAATATGCACACCGATTTCGGAGACTCGACTCCCCCTTCCTATGAAAAGAGGTCTTTCTCCTCTTCTATTTTCCGGTATCTACATCCATCCATTCGCATTAATAATCTCTTTTGTCAACTATGATAACACTATAAAAAATAAAAAATATGGGTCTCACAAACCTATATTTATGAGATTTTTATTTTATTTTTACACAGGTACTATTAGATAAGCTGGAAAACAAAATGAAAGGAACGGTCGTAGAGGGAACAGTACCGAAATTATTCGAAGGAAAAATGACATCGTTTATCAAGTGTAAGAATGTTAATTGCACCAGCACCCGCGTGGAGACCTTCTACGATATACAACTTAGCGTTAAGGAAAAAAATAATAGTAAGTTACGTTTATAGTGTTGATCTACACCATATTGCAGGAAATTTGGCTTATTTGTACAAATTACAAGCTAACATACTAGTATTACGCCCTAATAGGGAGAGGCCTATGTGGACTGTAATAGCTGATATCAATACTATATATATTATGATACTTGTTGTTTATTACCTTATTTAAACATAATATCAGTAACTTACCGAAGTACTCGCAAAATGCTTAATCCTTAGGTCCATAAATACATGACTATTCTACTTTTATATTTCGTTTTATGCTTACACATATTTTTGTAGACTCTTGAGTTCACCCTCAGACAGTAGGTACTCTTTTAAATCTATTATTCAAATTATAAACTTACCGCAGATTTATAAAGTACATTATGGAATAAAAACAGGTGTAATTTTTCCTAGAATGTTCTATTAACAAAAAAAACCTATAAATAAATAATATAATGAGAATCCAGATAGTACCTGGGTACTGGTCTAATTTAATCTAAAAAATACTATTTCTAAGCTCTACGCAATTATAAATTTAGTAGTTTCCTTTAACACAAAATCTTGTTGCCTTCTTGAAATACAAAGTAAATTTATGTTTCAGTATATGAATCATTCAAGGACTATATCAGCACAGAGCTACTTGAAGGCGAGAATAAGTACGATGCGGGGGAACACGGACTGCAGGAAGCTGAGAAAGGAGTGAGGTTCGATGTGTTCCCCCCGATACTGCACTTACATCTTATGAGATTCCAATATGACCCCCAAAGCGATGCATCAATAAAATTTAATGACAAGTAAGGACTTTAAATATAAAATGTAACTGATAAGTCGCAATTCGGAGGTTTAAGATTTTAAAAGTTACCGTAAAAATGTTACCGTAAAAATGTTACGACACAGCTGAATACTTTGAATTTTATTAAATACCATAATCGATTATTATTGTCTGCCCTTTTTTAATTTTATAAAAAGAAAAATATGAGTAACACATATCAAAACTGCTTTGTCTTTATTGAATAACTTCCACGACCTCTATCAATTCCTACAGAGATGGTTTTTACCTAATCTTTCCCAACCTCTATGTATTCTTTTAGAGATATTATTTATTTAACATTTAATAATTTATGCTTTTAAAATTTATGTTCATTTTTAACGACGTATATATGTATACGTATAACCGAAATTTTATAAACTTACTATGTTTGTCGTTTCCGACAATTATTTCGACTTCATCCGGAAGTCTTCTTCAAGGATATGTAAGTACGGTGCTTTACGTCGCAGCGCCTCACCTCGCGTTGCCCGTTATACATATTTATAGACAATTTACAGTTTATTACGATTTGTAAATATTCTACAGATTCGAATTCTACGAAGAAATAAATTTGGATCCATATTTACGAGATATACCTGCCACACCAGCACATTACACATTGCACGCAGTGTTGGTACACTCGGGGGATAACCACGGAGGACATTATGTGGTCTTCATAAATCCCAAAGGAGATGGCAAGGTAACATGTACAATTATATTTACACACTACATATGATATTCATTCATATGTAGACATCAGAGTTTATTATATCACTTGACGTCACTTCGAATACAGATACATGTGAAATAAAACGTATTTTAATTTTGACATAGCAAGCACGTGGACCTAATTTATCCTAATGTGTCCTAATTAATTCTTAAAGCTTTAATAAATTTCAGTGACAACCAATTACAAATTCCTTCCTGTTTACTCTTTTGAACCCAATAAATATTAATTAGTACAAAATATCTTTGTTATTTTATAAATAAACCGCATACGAAAATCGCCCGAGGCGATTGGAGCACAAAGGTTAATGGGACAACGAGGACTCGAGGAAGTACTAAACGGAAATTACGAGAATTATAGAAGATAGAGTTCAATATAGAGTTAAATGACTATTGCTATTTGTAACTATTGATAATATGCAATTTATTTTAAATTTAAACCCGATTAATATGAAATTTCTGGTGTCCCGCAACATAATTTTGCACTCATATCTTATATCTCTTTCGTACTAAGGAGAAGAAATTGTTAATATTGCGGACTACTAATCTCATTGCTAGCTATGTACCCTATTTTTTTAATGGATGATTGTAGAATGATAGCCTGCGCTAACGGTAGATATACGCTGGCGAGCGGCAGTGAGGCATGACAAGTGAGAATGAAACGGCAGATCAGTTAGAATTTTATAAGTTTGTAAGAGTTTCATATTTACGATAGGTATTTAGCTTTATTCATGCTTTTTTTAATTAGTACCTATATTTAACTACACTAAAATGCAATGCAATGTAAGCAATGAATCCATTATCATAAACAGGTTTTATCTGACTTTACTGTAAGAATATAAAAATATACCTATACAAAAATATATAAGTAATTTTATTTTGTTAAATTGTTCATTAGTGGTGTAAGTTCGATGATGACGTAGTCTCGAGGTGCAGCAAACAAGAAGCTATAGAATACAACTATGGTGGCAAAGAGGATGCACCACACCTTGCCAGGCGCGCGACCAGCGCATACATGCTGATCTACATTCAGTAAGAAAATATTACTAGCTATTTCCGGCAACTTTACCTGTGCTTATAAATATATAAAGTATCATATATTTTAAGATATAACCAAGTGTATCAAATTTTATTCAAAACCGTTCACCCGTTTAATCGTAATTGAATTATAAACATCCAAACATCTTTACTAATTTTCACGTTTATTAGTAGGAGTTTCATTTAAATTTATTCTTTATTCAAAAGATTGCTTTATAAAAAAAAAACTATAATTAAAATGTCCACAATATAAAATTTTCTAGCTTGCAAATACGTATTCATATATATTGTTCATTCTTGCCACAATATGCACTAAATTATACTGAATTGTGAATTCTTGTTTTAAAAATTGTTTACAAATGTTTAATGAAAAATGTTAGAGAAATACGATTATAATCATTTGCTGACTGGTAGACAATGCTACTAGCATTAAGTCCGCCTTTTATGCCATATTTTCTTTTGTTCAATAATGTTATTAAATAAATAAATAAATCATCCATTTAAGATATAAATACAATCAGTGTCGATCACATTTATCTCGTTAACTAAAAATTAATCAGAAGATTCCTTTATGTGATAAGTCCGCAATTGTAGGTATATTAAATTTTTTAATGTGTCCAATGTAAATTATGTACAATAAAGATTTTACAATACAAAAGTAATTCTTACTGCACTACTTGGTTGTTAATATAAAATTCATTTAAATGAATATAATTCACAATTTAAATAAATACCTATAATATTTTTACCCACTGACATAAGACTTCGGCAATTGTCTTGTCAAATTGCTTTTAAAAAAATCTTCGAATTTCTTATAGAAAAGCTACGAAAGGAGTTCATCATCATCATTATTATCATCATCTTTGATTTCTATTGTTACTTTATTGGTATTATAATGTATATATTTATATTTGTTTGTATGTTTTTATGATAAATATTGATATATTTAAGTAATATTTTTTTATTTAATTATTCTTAATAAATATTCAATAAGTTTACAAAAAATGTTCAGTACAAAAGGTGGGCTTAATGTTATATTTGTTTAATATATTCATGTAAGTATATCTATATGGTTCTCCGTTGTATCTGTTATTTAATTTGTTAGTCAATATACGTCTGTAACTGTTTATCTACAATAATTTTCAATGTTTTTCATCGCATAATTAGTCCGATTTGAAAAATACTTTGTACATTTGGTACCTTATTTCTTAAGAAAGGTATAAACTATTTATAATACGGCTATGAGCAAACACTTGGAATACAGCTAGTAACGTATAAATTTAGGAATTTATTCCCGCGAATGCTTCAGGCTCTGGAATAAGCTTCTATATTTCTTCTTCTATAATTCTTTAGAAAGGGTATATTAAGATTTCTTCAGAGTTGGAAATGCGCACGTGACACTCCGTAGTGTTGTAGGCGTCCATAGGTTTCAGAGACCATTAGTAGTTTATAAATGACAACGTATGAGGTACCCTATCTGGGCATTACTATCTATCTACATATACCCGCAAAACGTTATCCATTAAAAAATTGTTTTAAATATTCATGAGTAATCTTGTTACAAAATAAAAATACATATTCATTATTCATAGGACATCACAACTGAAATACGTCCTGCAAGAGGTGACAGAAGGCGACATACCAAGCGACCTCTGCGAGCGCATCAACGAAGAGATGCGATACGAGATGGTAAGAACATGTAAATATCAGATTCCTGCACGATACAGAAGTTATTTTTTTTTTTATCCTTTTTGTTTCGTATAAGTGAATAGACGTGACTCTTTTCAGGCGGCAGAAAAATAAAGTGCAGGAAATATAAATCTGATACGTCAGTCAGCTCTGCAAAGTACTACGCGAAGATTTTTACAGTACTAAAACAATTCTTCACTTTGCAGGCCTTGGCCGGTTCTAAATATAAAGGAAGATAGTCAAATACGAAGCTTAGTTTTTATCTTTATACATTTACATAAAAATTTTTATTTAAAGTTTTATGCCGATGGCGTTGATATTTAAATTCGTCAGGTAGGTAATTAAGCTTTATATTTACTTTGTTGTATATTTTGTTGTAATTTATGTACCGCTGTCAATAAAATTTGTTGCGAATAAATTATTAGATTTTACTCAATTTGAATTCGTGGATTTATTACTTAACGTTCTTTTTTTGTGATATTATATTTTGCTGTGAAAAATGTAAATAAGTGTAACACACATAGGTAACATGAATTTAATCCGGATAAAATTAAAAAATTTCACTATATGTTACAAGTACACCGTGCTTTTTTATTAAAATTATCACTTCTCTTATTAATTGAACTAGGTACTATATTTTAATAACCAGCAATAAAAAAATGCATGTGTTACATTATCTACTTTAAATTATTTTAAAACTAACAAATACTCACAATCAATATATCTAGCATATATATCTAATGCCAATTAAGTTCAAGAATCGACCACAAAGGGGGCCGCGTGGAAGTTGACCTAATAGGATATTGTGTTAGTAATGGGGCCAGCGGTTCCCTAATTAAGTATATTATAGTGATAAATAAATCATAACTTCTTTCCCATACTAACATAGACACTATTGGAAAGACGTGCCTTTTTCGATGTCTGAAATAATAAGATATGAAGAACATTTTATGATTTTGTCTCTATAACAGTTTAATTGGAAATTTTTACAGTGCTTTTACGAGTTTATATCGTAAACTCTGCTCCGTACACATAGATAATTGGATTCTTCCTTGGCATTGTTGGAATGTATTGGAAAAATTTATATCTATCTTACTTATGTACTTATCAGAAAATTTGTCAGGATGTAATTTCTAATAACTGATGGTAAGCGGTTACCGTAGCCTATGAATGCCTGCAATACCAACAATACCTTAGGTACTACCAACGTGCTATATTAATCGAGGGTGGGAAAAATGGTAGATAAATCTTATTCCATTTCAACAATTAAACAGATAGACGAAACAATTTGGCGTCGTGAATAACGTAATTTTCGCTTCCATCAAAGAGCAAGAAGCAATATATTTCACGATTGACTTTATTCTCGGTAATTAAACATCTCCGCTAGACATCAATCAACCGGCTGTCACCACGCCTTCCGACAAGGAGCGCTAAACAATTACCTACTTTTATATCTTTCACTCATAATTAATAACGGAGCCAACTCTAAGCACAATTCTATGTACGAGTATAATTCCTTTCAGTAGTACCACCTACTTTTAACCGAAATCCAAAAGATGGTTTGCGATACGTTAGAATTTTTGTGATTACGTAAGTGATTGGCTACTTAGCCAATTCTGAACTAATTATACAATATTGTTTGCAATCAATAAGATTTTTACTTAAGTTGGTCTCGTATTAACTACTCTTTTATTTGGAAAACAAAAAACTTCTTGCTGCAAAGCAAACCTACAGATAGACACGTGATCCTGCGTTCTAAATTCAAATATATTCAATAATTTTAATGTTGTAATTGTAATATAAAATATTGACATAACATCTGGTCGTACATTGCATACAATGCACATAAGCGTTCACTATTGAAATCGCTATTTTTTTGAAAACTTTTTTTGGAGTAAAATATACATTGATTCGTACCACATTATAATTGTCTACATATCATCAAATTAGCCATCAATTGTACACTGCTGAATATACGCCTTCACCATAAGGGGAGTTTTCCAGTAGTTGCCTCGCTTTACAGGCGGGTTGGCAACCGCAATTAGGCTTTGGTGATATTTTAAGAGGGACGCTCCTGCCCATCCCTCGACCATTAATTTCCCTTAGTCGCCTCTTACGACACCCACGAGGTGATCCATTCAACGCCAGGGCCACTCGGTAATGTCTAAATATGCTACATTGGAAATACATAAAAATATACTGCAAGTGTAAAGAGTGGGAATATAATTAATGGTGTTATTTGGCTATTAACTCAGCTAATGTATTTTAGCGTTATAATGGTTCAACCAATTTCTATGAAATTAAGTATATAAGTACTGTGAGATGAAGAGAGATATAGGATACTGTTCATCCCGGCCAATCAATATATGAATCTGTGTCATGCGAGCGGAGTCGCTGTTAAAAATATATACATACATATATAGTTATTCATTTAAGCGTCAATTATACACATTACGAGATAATAAACCTGCAAACGTACATAGATGAATCTAAGAAACATTTTCATCTTTTATGGGCAGTAATATAAAAATAGGAATATTTTTCTGTTCAAAAATGAAGCTATTTTTATTATTTGTGAACAGGCTTGTATTTATAAAATGAATATAACGAAGGACACACTTCAGTGCCAGTACTGGGCCAAGCGTTCAGATATTCGCTAATTAATCCGGAAGCTCTACTATTAATTAGAAGACTTTTTCTTCGTCAGAGCGGATTACCGCCGGTCGTTCCCGTCGAAGCTTATGTTTTTATTTAAACGGCTTAAGTCATTAATGAAGCTAGTAATTTATCAAGTGAATTCACTGTATCTTTTAAATTATTAGCTAATTCAATAATATTGCTCTAATTTATTTTTAACATTCTGCGGTTTTGTCCTTTAATCAATGTATAAAGTAAAATCCTATGTGCTATGTTAGGATATAACCTTTTATTTAGATAGTGTCTTCATAAAAATGCTTAAAAAAAAACGGGTCAACTTTTTCATATAATTTTACATGATAAATAGTTGCGCGTCCTTTATAACTTCTACATTTATTTTGTCCTTTAATTTCTGCATCTTTTTAATGCGCAAATACTTATTTTTCAAGATACATTTTAATATATAACATTTATTAATTGATCCTGACAAAAATAATTTCGATGGTCTATCTATATAATCTAGGATATAACCTACCCGTGTACTAAGTTTCATTAAAATCCATACAGCCGTTTAAGTGATTTCTGAATGCTAATATAACATAATTTTTGTAACTCTGTATTTTTGTGATATTAAATAAAAAAAAGTGTGATTGAGCAACAAACTTATTAACATCGAAAAATCTTTACAAATATTAACTTTTATATATATTACAGGAAGGAAAACTCACAAATCCTTATTTTGAGCCGTCTGACCTCCGAATAAGCTATATCACTTTAACAATAAAGAAATCGCAGTATAGCAAAATTCTATTACTTTATGAATTGAGCACAGCGCCTCTAAATAAATAGCAAATAAATAGATAGATACATTATCGCTACCACGTGCATCAAACGAGACTGCGACGGCTGGCGTCTTATTTTTTTTTAGTATACAAAAAATACTACCGACAGAAAAGTAGGAACCGTGTTTAGATTTATTTATTAGTCCTCATAGTAATTTATTATTATTATTACAGCCGTTAATTGTCCACAGCCGAACACAAGCCTTCCCCATAAGAGTCTTGCCAGTAATTAATACTGCTCCCCATTCCTCGACCATAAGTTCCCTTGGTCGCTTCTTATGATACCTACGGGAAAAGAGTGGCCTTTTATATACCGGGACACACACAGCGATAGTAATAATTGATTAAAAATAAACCAATATGAAACAAAATACTATTTTGTAATGGCTGCTCAATTTACGTCTTTCTTTAACGAACCTGGTTCGTACGGAATAATAAAATTGTGTATATAAAAATTATTCATGAAACAATATTGAATTGAAACCGACATTGTGACTTTTTATTATTTATTTTTTAAATTCATAAAGTTTTATTTTAAACCTCTGGATACAAGCGATTTACTAGGTGATTTCATGTAACCAGACATCCGTTGACGATAGTACTATGCTCTTCCTATCAAACAAGCCAGTGGCTGTGGTATTGGGCGTTTTAAAGTAAGGCATTGCCACTCAAAGCAAGGTAAACTTTCTTACTTATATTATTGTGTTTAAAAATAAATAAATATAAACAAACACTTCAGTGTAACATCAACATATATTTATTAAATTCAAATAATTTAAAGCATGTGAGTTTTACAACAATGCCTATGACATTCCTCCATCGTGCGAAATCTGTTCTGATTGCCGCCTACATGCCGCAGACTACATACAGAAAGCTTTTATAACGACCATCATTTATATCCTAGTAATACCTTGAGATGAAGGATAAAGATGCATTATTATTATTTTATATCAAACTAAATAAAGAGAAGGAATATACCTGAAACTAGTAAGGTCGAAGTGGTTTATAACTGAACTACCACTTCAGAAATTTGTAGTAATTTGTCCTCAATATTTTTCATAAAGTCTGTTTAACCAACAACTGAATATACTAATTAGATACTAGATGATTTTTAACCCTTAAATACCTGGAGTTTCAAATTTGATACCGGGGTTATAAATCGCATTGGGCGCCTACAATCGATTTTATTTTAATATTTGGCTGTTTACATGTTACCAAATGTATTATTTTTTTTTTAAATAAATATATAAAAATATCGTTTTGTTTTTTTTACTATATTTCCCCATTAGTAAATAAAGGGTACACTTATATTTTTTTTAATTTGATCTAAAAAATCAGCTGTTAAGGGTTAATGGGTGAAAATGAAATAGTCTGAAGATGGCAAACAAGCATACAGCCCATGTGAAGGTAACCGATTACTGTAGCCTAGAACGTCTGCAACCCTAGCGGTATCACGTGCGCGTTACCGACCCTGAAGGAACTGATGAATTTAGAATGGTAACTGCACTATCGTTATACGCTAGCGGGATACCAGTGAATAATTATAGATAAAGATCAAGATCTCAAATACCACTGAAGGACGATATAAGTTAGGATCAATTTAGTTCAGTTGGCCTATCATGTTAAATTCATCAGGTTGGCCTATCATGTTAAATTCATCAGAATTAACAATAAAAATTTCTAAAGGAAACCATATGGAGGTTGATCTAATAGAGTATATTGCAAGCAATATGGTCGCTAATCCCCGTTATAATATCTTCTCCACTGGTAATATATGGGTATACTCTAATAACTGCTTACTTCGTAAAGAGAGCCATACACACTCCTGAATTGGGTTGTAACGTACAAAAGGTTGATGAGTTGATATCTTGCAATCCCATATAACTTGCTTCTAAAATATTGTAAATATTTTACTAAACTAGGTGTTATTTTGCGGAAGTCCAGAGTCCACTAGTTTTTTAAATAGAATTCTTTTGTTTAATTCCTCTACAATTAGTATGCGTATCAATCTTCAAGTGTTGGCAGTCACACACATACTAATAGTAGCGGAATTAAATAAAATTATTCTATTCAATTATCTAATAAATTATTGTATTTACTATAAAATATTCAAGATTATAATACTTATCTTATGAACAATTGAACATAAACGCTCTCAGTTTCAGATAACGTTAACATAGAATCATTAGAACAAATAGTTGTTGTTTATAACTTAGAACATTTATATACCATTAACTTAGAATATATAGTAATTAAAATATATAGTTTTAAGTTTAAGTGTCCATTAGACTGATAACGTATGCAACTAAGACCACAGGCACTAATTCTTAATCCTTAATCTATGGCTAGTACCTGACTTTCCAAACAGTTTAAAAAAGGGAGGGTGTCAATTCTTTTTTTTTTTTTTTTATTCTTTATGTTTGTTACTTCATAACTTCATCAGTTAGGAACCTATTTAGATAATTCTTTTTTTTTTATTTAAAAGGATATACTTTTAGATTGGTCCCATACAAATTTTATGAAGTCGGATTCGTAGTTTAGTTTTAAAATTAAAATAAGTGGTTTTGAACACAATTTTAAATTATATAAACAACATTCAATATTTTCTGATGAAAAGATGATATAATGATTAGTTTGAATTTAAACGTTAAATACAGAAAAATCTAATATTCTAATAATAATGTTTCAGTATGAAGTGCCACTGAAAACAGTTTTCGAATGCTTGTTTTTTAACAAACTATCAATGTATACAACGTTTAAATAATTATGTTTGTTGCCTATCAAATATCAGTGTTGTAGAGTTACGAAGGTAGGTTTTACCTCACCTTTGCAATGCCGTTCACAATCTAATAACATGTTAAAATTATTCTTATTTTTTCCACACCCTGAATACGTAAATAATTGACATTGATCCAATTGTGCGTTGTAGTAATATCTGAAATGAAAGATATTATTTATTTTAAAGGCAATTAATTATATATAAGATTTAATAACTATGCTCTTTACTTATATTTCAATAACTTTTTACTATATTTATCCTTTAGACACCGAAACAGACAAACATGCTATTGATGTTAAAACGTGCAATATCATCATCATCATTTCAGCCGTTAACTGTCCTCTGCTGAACATGAGCCTTCCCCATAAGGGGAGTTTTACCAGTAGTTACCACGCTTGGCAGGTGGGTTGCCAACCGCAAGGAATGTGCAGCAGCGACCTTAAAAGACCACCAAAGCCTAATTGCGAATACAAACCAAAAGTGGCAACAAGTGCCAAGATCCTTCTTATGGGAGAGACCTCGGTTCAAAAATAGACAGTTAACAGTTGATGTAATAAATAAAAAAAAATTCAATCGACTTCACAAAGGATTCAATTCAATTCTCAATTAATTTTTTTTTTGTTTGTTATCTCATTTGTTATTATTAATATATTCTATCAGATAAAAAAAATACTGAACCGATTTATGAGTTTAGAAGTTTAGTTTTTAAATAAAGATAACTGGTTTTGCCGTGGTGTCTGTATTTTCTATGGAACAAAATTTTAAATTACTTAAGTTTTTTTTAATATTATAAAAATACCGACTTATGTATTTGCCTTTGGAGCAACTGTCTTTTTTTTTTTGGTTGTTGTTGACAGCAATAATCCCAATTCCATAAATCAGAGTAACCTGCTACATTTTAAATAGTTTAACTGTTGGTTAAATTGGCTGGATTTATTAGAAAAGAAGTTTATTTATTTATTAATTCTTTATTGTGCACAAAAATATCATGGTTATAATTTTTTAATATTAAATTTATTTGGTAGCTAGTACTTACTTCTCCGTGATTCTACATTTTGCAATAGAAATAGGTTTAATGGAATGTCAACTTTATTCCGATCATCCTCTTTCCACAGTACATTGATCCTCCTGTGAATTGTCGAAGGCTTGGGTGAGGTACTCTCTCGTATTGAAGCAGTCGTCAACGTTATTTCCACTTCACATTTCACATATAAACTCCCCACCAAGATCAAATATCCACAATACATGAATATTTTCATTTCAAGAGCAGGTGACGTCATATAAATATTTGTGACCATTCCGTTGACCATAACAGCTATAAAAGCAAAGGTGACCAAAATTTATAACGGCATAAAAATGTTACAGCGGTCGTAAATAAGCTGGGTTAAAATTGTGCACAAAATCCGTTTATTGAAACAAGAATATTATTACAAAAATTGCCCAGAAAGGGTCTGTTTTAGCATTCATATCTACAGAAATTTCTTTAGTCGCTTGTATCGACGGAAACATTTAGTACTTTTTCATGATGATGTATACGAAATTCCAAGAAATGAAATTTATACTACAATTCCTAGCTTTATAAAGTGTCTTATCTTAAGCCACATGAACCAAAAATGCGAATGTTTTGAAAGATTGCAAATTGCAGCTCACGAATACTCCATATATATTAAAAGTAATGTATTATATGTGCATTTCTTATGTGTATATTATATTTATATTGTGTATTGCCTTAATGTGTTACTATAATTGTCACATATTTTTCACCACATCTGCCCTTCATACGCTTTCTGTTTTTACCCAAAGGTTAGCTGGTAGAGAATGCCATATGGCATTAATTATTAAATAAAATACTGAAGTGAAAACAAAAGCCACCTTGTGATAACTGATTATGGAATCTCCATCGCAATACTCCTTTTTTGTTGGCACTTATCCCAATTGTCAAAATTCAGATAACGTTAAATAATTTATTTAATCACACCTGCCCATCATTGTAGATGATATAATGGGAAAATACCTCATTTGCACTGCATACCGCGCACTCAACGCTGTAGGCAAAACACGATAATTTCCCGGTTACTGGCACAATGCATCGTTTGATTGTGAAGCAGATGTTTGCTGATCTAATGGCATTTTCAATTTGCATACAAATTCCTGATCTCGCATTGCTGGGCTGTGCGAGCGGTGCGGCGATGGCTGGTTGAATGCCGAAAGCCGGGGTACTCGAATGCTCCGGTGCCCGAATCGGATTATCGCTAACGACGCACCATTCTGTATGCCGCCGCAGTGGGTCGCATTCTTGCCGCGTGTCCGGCTCGACACTGATAAACTGCTTTAGTAGTTTATTATCATTACATCCAGTCAACAAAGTAAAATTCACCTAGTAAGCATCCACCGTTTTTCTGGATACTAGTAACAAAATTATCATTACCTACGTATAATTTTAGAAAATATCAACGTGATGCTTATTCAGCATGAACATGTGCAATCTAAGCAGACAACTATTATGAACTGAAATAAATAATTTACCTGTCTTCTAGTACTACTATTAACTTACTATATATCTATTTTCGTAATTAATTTACTAAAAATTAACCACGACAGTTATCAGGAGGGACCCCGTATAGATCAGCCTAACAAAGTAAAGTAGGGGGAAGGGATTGTTAATAATGGAGACTAAGGACCCCATTGTTAGCAATATACCCAAACAAGTCGACCTCCACGTGGTCTCCCCTAGAAACCATCGTGCTGAATTCCAAATTTATTCAATACAATGGGCTAACTGACCTGTCTTTTCATTCTCACCTATCATCACTCACTGGTGCCCCGCCAGCGTATACCGATAGCGCAGACGGGGTTACTATTCCATGATCACCCATGAAAAAAACCTGACAAAGTACATACTAGCTCACCTATGTATCCCAAATAACTGTATTTCAAGTAATTTCAACTCGTGAACAACTCACGTAACAACGTTGATTATATTATGATAAATACATAGATGCCAACATAAAATAACTACAGTCGTTGCGCGATTTGCAAGAAGCTTGGATATTTTAAAATTATAAAAAGGTACCTACTCATCTCTTATTAAAAAAAAATTGAGATTACTTATCTGGCTCGAGGCAAATTGTTAAAAAAGAAATGTAATTTCCAGATAGCTCTTCACAAAGCTTTTTAAAATGTACAATTCCAAGCTGTGGGATTAATTGCTGTAGTTTTTCATCTCGTCTGGCAGCCACCGGTCGGTGGAAGGAGATGAGATTACGACTGATTCCGCCGGCGACGTTAATAATTAATTGTCATTGCAATACAGCTATATAAACTATCGACTTGAATCAACCTACTAAGTTGTAAATTATTAAAAATGCAACAGTACGAAAGATGATAATTGATGATGCCCATGATTTTCCAAGAAAGAGACGATCGACCAAACGGTTGTAAAACGTTTACTGTGAACCTACCTATTGTTTTTATAATGGATGATAATGGAATGATAACCCCGCCTGCGCTGACAGTATACGCTGATGGGGCACCAGTGAGCAATGATAGATGAAGATGAAAAGGCAGGTCAATTAGCCCATCGTGATAAATTCACTTGGAACTAAGCACGAGCCGGAAGTCAACCTCCTCGTGGTTCCCCCTGGAAACCATCTTAATTGATTAAATCGATGAATAGGCGATGGGCAAACTGACCTACTTCATTGTCATCTATCATCCCTCACTAGTACCCCGCCAGTGTATAACGATAGCGCAGGCGGAGTAACCATTTCATTATCATCCATTAAAAAAACAGGATATATCGCTAACAAACGGGCTACTGATCCCCACTACTGACAATTCCTTCCCCCCCCCCCCACTGCCTATTGTTAGAGTAGACATTTCCCATGTGCTGATTGGTTTATAGGTGCAGAATATCTAAAATGCTTGCTCCTCGAACGACGAAAGAATTAGAGAAATCTACATGTCTGCTACCCGAAAGGGTAACCGCTGGTAAATGTGACGAGAACGCACTACAACGTTACTACAGACTACTTTACCTTTCAGTGATGTTTGATTACAGAACTTAATATTTATTTATTTGACAAAAAACACAAAGTTACAAATACAAAATACAATGGGCCCCACACTAGGCGAACCTCTATCGTGGGCACCCGACAAAGATTAACAAATCACAATGTTATAATAAAAAGTACATAGTGGGATATAATAAAAAGTACATAATATACTCATAGATTGGCAAGTTTATAGGTGCCTTTAATTATTTACACGTATATGAGTTAACTAGACCGTTTCTATACACATATCGATCATAAACTAATGATATACCTATTTAACTTAGCACTTTTTAATATATCAGCCATTAACTGTCCTCAGCTGAACATAGGCCTCCCCTTGACACTTTTTACTACAAAAATTCGTTGCGCAGACGTCGCAAACTAGTCAGGAGCAACATATAGGGTTGTAAGAATAAAATTCCTACCTGTTTATTATTTTTTGGAAAGAAAGAAGCTGCGAATATGACCAGAACCATATTGGCTTGTCATTTCTTATACATTGCCATTTGCCTTCAAACAGAAACACGATATATGACTACATTAAACAAAAATAATTGTAACAGATTTCCACTGATATGATAACTGTAGGTACCTACTTACAGGTGATGTATGTACTTCACTTGTATAAATAACTTTACAAAAAAACATCACAGTGGTCTACATAATTATAGTTGATATCAAATAAAATTCAAACGGCTAGTATTACTTCACCAATATACAAATAAGGACAAAAATGGCTTACATATCTAAATGGAAATACCTACAAAATTTGAACGAAAATCCTTTAGGCTGCGTAAAAATTCAATCATTTCGAAAGCTCCACAAAGATTTGTAGGACAGAGAGGATTTAAATGAAATTACGGCATTGTTTCCACGGTAACACACTCAGCCTAGCTTTTATATATAGGTTTTATTTTTTTTTTATGGGTGAAAATGGAATGGTAACCCCGTCCGCGCTATCGGTATACACCGACGAAGCACAAGTGGAAGATGATAGAAGAGAATGTATGCAAGTCAGTTGGCCCACCGTGATGAATTCGACAAGAATTAATCATGATGGTTTCCAGGGGGAACCGCGTGGAGGTCTAACTGAGAGAGTATATTGCTAGCAATGGGGCTATTAGACCTCATTACTAACAATTCCTTCCCCCCCCCCCCTATATAGGTATTAGGTGTATATAAATAGAAAGTGTGCGTATTTATGCGTATAGTAGGACATACGGCATAGGAAATCCGGCAGAACTAATTGGCTTCTTTACACTTTAGAGGTACCTATCTATATAAAGTGAGGGGAAGGAATTCTTACTAATGCGAACTACCAGTCCCATTGCTAGCCTTTTTATGGGTGATAATGAAATAGTAACCCCACCCGCGCTATCGGTATACACCAGCGGGGCACCAATGAAAAATGATAGATGAAGATGAAACAGGTCAGTTAGCCCATCCTGCCAAATTCAACTAGAATTAGCCATGATGGTTTCCAGGAGGAACCACGTGGAGGTCGACTTGACAGGGTATATTGCTAGTAATAGGGCTATTTGACCCTATTACTAACATGGGCGAAACAGTATACTCTGTTATGTTCATGGTACTGCTTATGTTACCACTTTCCATCAGGTGGGCCGTCAGCTCGTTTGCCATTCTAAATTGTATAAAAAAATAACATTCCATTATCATCCAATAAAAAAAAACTATATAAAGTATTTAAAACAAATAATACAAAAACACTGAATTATGGATCTAATACAAAGCGAGAGTATCAAAATGTCTAAGTTATAATAAGTATATAGGTAAGTGAAATAAATGTATCCACTTGTGAATTATAGAGGAATAAAAGTTGCCTTGGATACACATATGAATCCTTATTTGTGGATTCAAGTGAACTAAGGCGAATGGAATGGTAACCCCGTCCGCGCTATCGGTATACACCGACGAAGCACAAGTGGAAGATGATAGAAGAGAATGTATGCAAGTCAGTTGGCCCACCGTGATGAATTCGACAAGAATTAATCATGATGGTTTCCAGGGGGAACCGCGTGGAGGTCTAACTGAGAGAGTATATTGCTAGCAATGGGGCTATTAGACCTCATTACTAACAATTCCTTTCCCCCCCCCCTATATAGGTATTAGGTGTATATAAATAGAAAGTGTGCGTATTTATGCGTATAGTAGGACATACGGCATAGGAAATCCGGCAGAACTAATTGGCTTCTTTACACTTTAGAGGTACCTATCTATATAAAGTGAGGGGAAGGAATTCTTACTAATGCGAACTACCAGTCCCATTGCTAGCCTTTTTATGGGTGATAATGAAATAGTAACCCCACCCGCGCTATCGGTATACACCAGCGGGGCACCAATGAAAAATGATAGATGAAGATGAAACAGGTCAGTTAGCCCATCCTGCCAAATTCAACTAGAATTAGCCATGATGGTTTCCAGGAGGAACCACGTGGAGGTCGACTTGACAGGGTATATTGCTAGTAATAGGGCTATTTGACCCTATTACTAACATGGGCGAAACAGTATACTCTGTTATGTTCATGGTACTGCTTATGTTACCACTTTCCATCAGGTGGGCCGTCAGCTCGTTTGCCATTCTAAATTGTATAAAAAAATAACATTCCATTATCATCCAATAAAAAAAAACTATATAAAGTATCTAAAACAAATAATACAAAAACACTGAATTATGGATCTAATACAAAGCGAGAGTATCAAAATGTCTAGGTTATAATAAGTATATAGGTAAGTGAAATAAATGTATCCACTTGTGAATTATAGAGGAATAAAAGTTGCCTTGGATACACATATGAATCCTTATTTGTGGATTCAAGTGAACTAAGGCGATTATTAGGTTGAAAGGGCGATTTAGAAGATTCGTCGGTTAGCTAAGAGTCATTGCTTGTGCCTGGGAATTACCGAATGTTTTGAATTCGTATTCAATTACATATGTAAGTACCTGCGTAATGGAAGCTCAGACTCTAAACAATCTTAGATAATTTAAAAATGTCTTCCATAAAAAGTGTGGCAAAACATGTTGATTTAAAAACTACTAAACCGATTATAATAAAATCTCTATGGGACTAATCTAAAAGCATATCCTTTCAAATAAAAAAGAACTTTCCATAATTTGGTTTATAAGTTATTGAGGTTAATACCTCCTCTTTTTTTAAGTGAATTGAACGCCATAGACTAAGTACGTTATATTAAGTTTATGCTTAAAGTTGGGTCGAACTACTTTAATGTTCTTTAGAGATAAGTAGATATGTCGATCCCTACTTATCTCTAAAGGTAACGTTTCTTTTTTTATTAAATGTTTGGTTTAGAGAAAGACTGCACAAAAGTAGAGCCTGTATCGAAAAAAATTAGTCCTACTGTAACTACGATATTTGTATACTATTATTGGAGTAATAGGTAACCACATTAACATTGGTCGTCAGCCTGATGTCAGCAGACGCCTCACATTGATTTTCTTCGCGTGCCTTTCCCAGCGGAAGTAAATAATTATTATCTTAAATAAACTAAGACTTTTAAACCTTTGCACTCCGTTGACGCTATATTTGCAATATTAAAATATTAACATTACATCCACTGTCACAGCTACAGCGACACGGTTGTTTCACTGACCCAGCGCCCTTAATACTTAGGTAAGCGAAATTGTCTATGTCTATTTTATAGTGTTTATCATGTTTATTATGTTTACATTATAATAAGTTATTGATAAGGAGTTATTGGTATCCTCTATGAGTTACTAGATTGGAGTGCAAAGGGTTGAAACAGAAAATGCGTCATCGGCAGTGTTGGCCTGACATTGATTTTACTGACCCCTTTTGACTTGCTATATACCCTGGTTGCGCGACCGGTGCTCAACCTCTGTGCGCCCTTCCTTAAAAACCATCGTGGCTAATTCCTGCTAAAGGGGGGAAAGGGATTGTTAGTAATGGAGACTAAGAATCCCATTGCTAGCAATACACCCAATCAGGTCGACCTCCTCGCGGTTCCCCCTGGAAACGATCATGATTCATTCCAGATGAATTCATCATGATGGGCTAACTGGCCTGTTTTCATCCTCATCGATCACCATTCACTGGTGCCCCGCCAGCGTATCTTGTTAGCGCAGGCGGGGTTACCATTCCATTTTGATCCAAAAAAAAAAATCCTGCTAAATTGGGGGGAAAGGGATTGTTAGTAACGGAGACTGAGAATCCCATTGCTAGCAATATACGCAACCAGGTTGACCTCCTCGCGGTTCCCCCTGGAAACTATCATGGTTAATTCCTGATGAATTTATCATGATGGGCTAACTGGCCTGTTTTCATTCTCATCTATCACCCTTCACTGGTGCTCCGCCAGCGTATCCCGTTAGCGCAGGCGGGGTTACCATATCATTTTCACCCATCAAAAAAAAATTATTCCTGCTAAATTCATCACAATAGTCCAACAGACCTATTGCTTTCATCCTCATCTATCAACCCTCTCTGTTGCCTCACTAGCCTAAATAGTAACTTTTCAACTTTTTTTTACAAAACAGGGGTCAAATGCGCATGCGGCTCACCTGATAAGCGACTACTGCCGCTCATGATCACCCACAACACCAACGGCATTGCAGGTGTGCTGCCGGCCTTCTATAACTCTTCTATAATCCTTATGATAACATTCGAGTTCTATCCAAATAATAATAAACGTGAGTTTTGGAAAATAGATGCATGTTTTTTTTTTTACTTTTTTACAGAAATATTACTGAACGGGTTTGAATAATATTTGGTAGGTATACGGATATATTATAGCATATTATATGACAAGTGATATACTACCGAAAATTTAATCCTGATTGAACATAGGAACAGTCATGTAGGTAGCATAATAATAGAAATATTAATCCTGAATAGGAACTCATATATTGTATCCATATACGTGTATACTTACATTTACAATAACAAGTTATTTATGCATCAATAACCTCTCTACTTACCTTTATAATTTTGATAGCAGCATAAACTTCGACTGTCGTTCTTAAAAAAAATTCGCCTAGGGGCTTGTTCTCCGATAGGTACTCTAAGTAGATTCGCCACTTTACCGATCATATTGTCTATACTGGAGGAGTCCATCATACATGGAGAAGAATAAGGACAAGATTAATTCGAAAAATTTGTTGTTGATATCAAAAGCTGTTGAAATCAAATTCGTTTCCGCATACATAAAAGAAATTTTGCAGAAAAGGTTTTAAAACCTATCAACTCTATTATCAACTCTATTTCTCTTTCTTATTTCAACATCTTATTATGAACTCTTCACAGTTGATATTATCTTGACATAATGATATATCCTCAGAAAATATACTTTTTATTTCATATAAATATTTTTAAACCCAAAAAAATGTATGGACAGTATATTCTTTTAACTCCCATCTTGGTCCCATATCATTTTGAGTAAGTCTTCTCCCATTGATTTTAGTTCTGATGATTTTATAAAAATCTGTCCCATCTGATCAATTAGCGTAGTAACATTTTTCACCGACTATAAGGATATGTGAGTATTAAGTATGGTCGTTCAAAACAAACCAGTGTAAACAAATATAGGATTATATTCAATGAAACATTCAAATCCAACAAACATTGGATCAGATTCCAAGTTTGTACAAGCTGTGTACAGACTGCTTTCACAGGTGCATCGATACTTGAAGATCTTTAAATTAAATAATAAATAGACTATAATCCCATTTGCCTTTATAATTATTGGCATATGTATTTCTAAGCCACTATGTTTCTAAGTTTGTCGCAATACCTCAAAACCATGTTAATGAAAATAGCGCAACCAACACACATTGTTATCATAAAAATATATTTTTGAATTACTTTAAAATCAAGCTACACGAGTGATAGATAGACTCTGTCGCACAATGAGAATATGTTATTATTTATTTATGGAACGAAAACTAAGTGGGTATCGATTCAAAGTATTCATTATTTCATCAGATTACAAAAAAAAAATACCATGAATTGTCTAAGGCATCGTTACGAAAACTTATTGTATTTTTTCTTAATTTATTATATCATATATATACATAATTTCGACATAATCATTTTTATTAATAACGTAACATTCTTGTCGGTAGCTCAAGTAAAAAATTAAATAGTTACATATACATACTTCGGATGTTGATTAGGCTTTCAGCCAGAAATAACAATATAGTACTAGTACCTATTAAGTTGTCAACTATGTGCAATTAAAGTTTGCGTACAATTGACGCAGGGAACATCACTGCAGCGTACAGACCGCTACAACAAAGTTCGCTAGTCGACCACAAATGTGCAGTTTTTGGCAATTCGACAATATTTTAAACACATCTATAAACACTTTATATAAAAAAACATGTGAGACTTCGACTTTTTCACAAAAATCGCGACGGGAAATTTAATTTCTAGGATAATGTTATCCTTAAACTTGCTCAATGTTCTTTATTTGAACATGGAAGTAGACATATTGTTTTTCTAAATTTTGTACGATTAGGGATGATTTCAAATTAAATGGCTCGCATCGCATCGAATCAAGAAAAAGAATAAGAACAGGTGTGGCGACAAGCGATTGCGTCCGATCGGATGTCTACACATACGATCGATTCCTTAGCATCGCATGCGAACGTACCCATATTTACGATTAGTTAAACAGTTTCCTTCAGTGTCGACGCGTTCTAGTTTTAAAAAATAGTTAAGTTGACGTTGTATTATTAGCTATTGCATTAGAAAAGTAAATAATCATAAAACATAGAAGTAGAAAAGAAAAATTAATGATGCCGCCTGACCACGGTTTTTAGCGTACATGGCGACAGCCGAAAGGATCCAACCGGATAAGACGACATGCGAAATGAGGCGATCGCGCGTCACAGCATGGTTTCGGCTACGATCGCAAGACACCCGCGGTTAAATAGACCGCGGGCGTTTCTGCGCGACTTGGTAAAATAGACTAAATACTATGTATACGATTAAATATCGTTTAAAGATTGTAAAATCCGTTGCGATCCGATTCGATGCAAGCAGTTTTGTAGAAATCATCCTTAACAATCTTGGTACATCCTTTTATCGAAACAATAGTGCAAAAAATAAACGAATAGCTGAAGTACTATCACATAAGTATTGATCACATATCTTTACATATCATTACTTTGTCAGTTTTATTTTAAAATTACCAAATTCGACGTAGACATGCTAGTTTACTAATTGTCAACATCTGATTTTTATCGACTTGAGCGTCAACCAATAATTGTATTCAAGTTTAAGAAAATATTTGTAAATAATCAAAGGTTAGCAACATTAGCTCATACCTACTCGATACAAAATAGATTTGAATGTAAAAACACAAATCTGTTGATTTTGTAGAATATTAGTGGGTGCATTAGCTATGTACAAGCTTTATTATTAATAACTATACTATGAAAATTTTAAACAATGCGGAAAAAATTCATTAGATATATTACTTAGCCACTGTATTAGTAGTACACATAAAATAAAATTAATAACATTATGCACTTTAAGCGATATTTACTTTCGCAATTGACTTTTTTACAACGTTCGCTCGAAAATTAGTTTACAAAAATCAATAATAAATACAACAATTAATAATATGAAGTTACACAAATATTATCAGATTAAAACAAATCTCGCCGCGAGATTTGAAACTTCTATGTAACCATATTGCGAGGTGTTACCTACCAAACTGAAACATCGATATAAAAACGATCAGTAGCAAAAAGATTATATAAAGTACAATTCCCAAAAAACTACCACGAGCTGAATTTATTTCTTATACAAAATTCAATCACTTGACCTAAGAATCACCTTCAAGTTTTATTTTCATTTTACTAAAATAAGACCTCGAGTTGACAAATATTTACAAAACGAATGCCTCACTACCAAGCAGAGTGCAAGTATCAAAGCATACTTTACATATTATTAAAAAGTTAAAACGTATCGGGAGGATTGATTCTGAAACACGCCATTCTTTATCTCTAGAATACAATACAACTAAAGTTTCAATATGACATAGTAAATAAATTTAAATGAGCCACCACTACTTTAAATTTAATTGTTGATGATACGTAACATAACACGTTCGTAATAATTTAAAAAAAAATTGTTTTAGAAATAAATTTGTAAAAATGCACTTCAAAATCGACTCCTCACAAGCTTATCATCACATGCCATGAGCATCATTGATGACAGTTTTATAACCTTGTTTTAATTTATAATTCTTGCCTATCCATTATTTGTTAAGACATATCTACAATGACACTAATGTTTACGACGCTTGCAAAATAATGCAACTTCATGAGAGCTCATGACATTTATATATAGTATCATAAAAAAAAAATACAACGCAATATAATTAAGCACTAGTAACGTAATAAATACACGCTTGAATATTTATCAAATCACTTGTTAATATACCGGATGAACAGTGAGCTGCAGCGAATTAGACAATTGACTATCCATCTCATAATCAGGACACATGGTCAGCAAATTTAAATAATTAATTGCATTAACTTTATTGAATTCTCACTGGATATAGATAATATATGTCTAAATCTTCCGGCAAACGTTCACACAGGCACATCTGACAACTAGATTAAAATACTCTTAAATTACAATTACATACAATATTACAATCCCCCTTAGGTTTTATTGCACTGTCAAATATGTGAAACATTGAGTGATAAACACAAACAATGAATAGAGACGTCACCAGATGTTTTCTAAACGATATAAAATTTAGCTTAGTAAATTGATAAGTCCATTTAGACATAATCCTACATATTTGATAGTATAATAAGCCCCATAATACTCAACAATGAATCCTGCATCGGTGACGATATTCAATTTTGTCGAATCACCAAAAACTTATCATGATTGTATCGAGAAAACTTTGACGGCGACACATTGTACCGACGTATTCCCAACCAAGCAGTTTTAAATTAAAAATAAAACATAAATATTGAGACAGCCATTTGTTTAAATTTACTAAACGGCAGGACACAACACAATTTTCACTGGTAATGCTAAAAGGCGATATAAACAAATTAATTAATACGTAACCGACAAAGACTGCTCTCATTGTTAAAACAATAAACTATCTATACAATAAATATTAAGGATTCACTCTAACATAGATTGTCATTAAAACTTGGCCATCAAAAGATAATGATTCGTACACAACAGCCCTGTCTGTTATCCTCATGCTAGGGTTGATAAGCTGCAATCAAAATTATTAACGTAATTACCATTACATATTTCAGCAGTAGTTCTGCGACGACTCTGTCACATATTCTCTTGTCGAATACATAAGAGACATCAAAAAGGCGATAGAGTACACAAAAACATACTATTGTAAACTACAAGAGAATATTTGACGTAACACAGGTCTGTAGTATGTCCGGTTCACTATATTTTAAACAGCTTGGTAAGGAAGTCAAATATTGGTGTTTGCGAAGTATATATTATAAATAAGTGTAAGGCTATTTTCGTGTCCATGCGATAGTAAAACTGCACGTGATGTAGTAGAAAGTCAAGTAGAGATACTTAGCGTCACCAAAGTGCGGACAACCGCAGACGAACAATTTAATATTTGAATATTTTAAAAGCCACCGCCGACACATACTTCACAAATGTATCGTGTAATATGATAATCAAGCACGCCGATATATTCGCAAAACACGGATGGGGTTTCGATACATCACACAAGCGAAAATGTGATATTGACAATAAGCATCAACTATTCGATTTCATTTAGATATGTGCAATCAATACGCCGTTCTTGGTATTTTTTTACAGTAGGACTGAGGGGAAGGGGATGGTGAGGAGAGAGGGGCGTGTCAGTTACTACCGCAGGGACGAACGCGTCGCGTCTGTGTGTGTCTGTGTGAGTCGCCCGTCAGCACGGCCAGTGTGACGTCAAGCGAACCAGGGCGCGCGCATTATGGCTCAGTTGTATATCTTGATCGCCTTCTCTAGGTAGTTGACACGAGACCGCTTCGGTGTTTTGTTGATGTGTTCAAGGCCGAGCCAGGGCCGGCCCGTCGCGTCTGTGAGGGGTAGATCTTTATTACATTATAGCACACATTCCTTTAAGGATCGAGTCGGTAGTCATAAAGTTGGATTTAAACTAAACGAACACGGAGTATAGATAAAAAGCTAAAACACATAAGCGGGTTGGATTACATTAACTACATGAAAATTTGCTGCATCAAATGCATTCATGAATGCAATTGACAGCAGCAATACTAATAATATTATTTGTTATGCAGCATCAGTATCAAACCAAGTAAACAAATCTATTATAATATTTATATAAAAAAAATCTTAGAGAATAGCTTGTAATTTAAATATAGTTACATCTATTAATGGAACTAAGAGGGTGCAAATACGCTTATTAAATTCACTACCTTTCAATAGTAAAATAATGGGGTCGATTCTGAGGCATCATTCCTCTATCTTTAAGTATGAACTAACTTCTTATTATAATTGTACTTTATTATGGCCCATAAGAGGCCTATGTCCAGCAGTGGACAGATAACGACTGATATGATGACAACGATGATGATGATGATTCATAAAACACTAATTTTACGTAATTATCAAATTTAAATACTAGTTTTACAAATAAGTTTAGCACATCAGAATCGACTCCACTGTCAGTAAAGTTAAATACTCACTTGCATTACTACTTGGCCTGAAGTCGAATATATTTATTGTCGCTCCTTCACTTATGTAATTAGGTCTGCCATTTGACACTATAGCGAAATTGTACTGAAACAATACATTATTATAAAAATAAGTTTACTATTTATACTAATAAAATATAGTTCGGTAAATTCCGTTTAAAAACAGTAGAATCGTTAAAATTTACGATTTAAAAGAGCTTGTAACTATTATATCTATTGTTTACAGCTCGATTTCTTTTTATTCCAAAATATGTTTGCACTTGACTTTTTTTTATTTATTCTTTATTGCACAATAAAATTTTGTACAAATGGCGAGCTTAATGCCATATGATATTCTCTATCAGCTAACCATTGGGTAAAAACAGAAAACGTATGAAGGGCAGATGTGGTGAAAAATATGTGACAATTATAGTAACACATTAAGGCAATACACAATATAAATATAATATACACATAAGAAATGCACATATAATACATAAACATTACTTTTAATATATATGGATAAACTAATACATATGAAATATATACATATATTTTATTTCTCATCTGATGATAAGTGACGATAAGATCCAAGATGAAGCACGCGTGTCCAGATAACCCTTATAGTAATTGTTCGAGTTTATATATATTATTTATATAAAAATAAGTAACGGGCACAAAGTGCATAATTTAATAAACAGTTGAAAGTGTCAGTGTCATCTACGATTCTGGTTAATCAGACAGGATGGTTCGTGGATGTTTAGGGTTTGTTTAGTCTATTAACATCTATCCCCATAATTTATGGGGAAAGTAAAGTTAGCTTCTTCATTTGTTAGTACATCTACTATTATAATGAATAGTCAATATAACTATTACATAAATAATTTTAATTTAAAAAATATTTCGAACACCAGTACTATTAAGATTAAAAAATATTCATGCCGATGTTTAGCAACATTCATATTATAGTTCAATTTACAAAAGCATTTTTATATATTTTTTAAATTATTATTTAGTGTTTTTAAACTTATCTAAAATGTTTATCATAACACAAGCATATTCACTTATTTTTAAAATTACACTCTACTACAGATTTTGCTTTTAAAGTTTTCAAATACTTTATTACAATTACTAATAAGTTTAATACTAATCGTTAACATTTAGTTAGCTATAGGTAAGGACACTTCAAATTATATTTTCTTACATGTAATATAAATAAATATTACCACCCACCAGAATGAACATTCATTCATTACAAAATCACAGATTTCAACAACAAATTTAATTTGAATAAAAACATTGTGTTGCATGCAGAAACCTTTAATATAGAGACACAATTTGTGTGATGTGAAACAATGTGTAGGTATTGCCCATGTCTATAGGTGACGTTTACTCCTTTCCATCAAGTAGGCCGTCAGCTTGTTTGCCTTTCTAAGTTGCATAAAAAAAAGTAAGAAAAAAAAACTTCTGCCTCAGAAACGGAGGTAAGATAGCACTACATCAATTTACTCATAACCACAGCCAATGAAGCTGGTTAAAATATCGAGATAACCCAGTTAAATTATTACAGTTTACCTAAATGATCGCGTCAATTGTCATCTCTATACACCATAAATTTAATTTGCATTGTTGGTTGAACAAACAATTCAAATCGAATTCTAAAACATATTAATATTTAATATAAATATTTTTTCTCAAACATGCTTGGAAATATTTTGACAATCTTCTTCGAGATAAATCAAAATTGCCGTACTGGCCAGATAAATACAAGCAGTACTTTGAAACATGGCTGCCAAGGAGGTAACTAATACAAGGTTTTATTTAAATTTCGAACTGGCTTGCAAATAGAAAGCTGTTTATTGAAAAAAAAAAACATGGCGCGTGAAAATTTATTATTGTTCATTATTCGTCACTGAACTTAAAAAGTAAAATTGTGTTTTTGATTTCCGCGCATTGTTTGAGAAAACTACTATACAAGCCGTGGCCACAACTAGGTATTGATGGACTCACGTTTGTGTGCCTTGGCTACGCCTCGGCCCACATTTGCACGTTCGTCCATCAATGCCTCAGTTGCTGGCCGCAGCAGTAATGTACTATACCGTACCTTTTCCCACTCCTTATCGGGTATATCGAGTTTTTTTTGTAAACGATCTTTGAACGCTTGGAAAGACTCGTTGTGTTTAACGCGCGCATAGAACGGGATACCGAAGGTGGAGTACACCTGCTTGTGGAAGTGTGCAACCGGGACCAACGCCTCATCATCCTGATAAACAAAAAACCATTGATGTAGTGTGATAAAATTAAATATATGTTGTGGTTTCGACATGAATAAATCACATTGTCATTAATCAATCTTTAAAACATTGACCGACTATATATTTTACCAGCACGGCGTGATATCGTGATTTTACCATAAGGATTATAATAAGAGCAAAATAATTACATAGAACCATATTAAATTATATACATCACGACACAAAAATATTGCATAATTATTATTGTTATACTAATAAATAGTTATATGCTTCTATATCGTCATAGTCGTAGAATACTGACGGATCTGACAAAGATTACATATAAAGATCCGTCAGTATTCTACGACTATGACGATATGTCTACTCTGTAGCTCCATCTACCACTCCCATTGTTTCCACAGAAAATCAACGTTTAGGCGTTACGTATGAATACCTAAACACTTAGCTGAGTGGTGACCATTTTGGTCGCACAATTTCTAATTAGGTATAAGTTTCAAGTTCATGTCTATAGACAAAGGTAATTAAATCCTATACTTGATTAGGTGTGGTGATTATCAGCTTGTTTGCTATTACACGTTACATCTTAAAAACTGGAATTTAAAATAAATAGATATGAAAGACGAAATTTTATTTCATTAAATACTTAAATATTATAAATGTGAAGGTGAGTTTGTTTGTTTATTCGTTTATTACTTCTTGGCAGCTCAACATTAACCAATCATTATGACATTTAGTGTACATGTACTATTCGAAATAAAGAAGAACATAAGCTACTTTATATTACAGAAATAAATCCACAAAAAAAATAATTTAATTGAATATGAAGTTACTAAAATATATAGACACTATTGACAATACAGTAATCTATGTGACAATAAATTATTACATTAAATATTAATTTAAGATTTATAAAATTATTAGTCCATATAACATTACCTGCAGGTTTATTTCATCTCTGGGTATCTCCTCTATTCTGTACAATCTTGGTGGTGATATGGTCACTTGGTCCAACGTCAGTTCAAGATCCGGGCCGGGTAATACTTTATGACACGCCACCTCGACAATTCTTAATCTGAAAATCAATCAATCAATACATATAATCGTTCGTCGTAACTGCTCGCTGTCTGTAAATGGAAGATATACAAGAAAAACTATTATAGGGGGGCTTTATGAACGCAATAGAAACCAAAACAATATTTTTTTGAATTTTTGTGTTTTTTTGTATGTTTATCTCATAATCGGCTTAACAAATTTGAATACGGTTTTTACTAATGCGTTGCGGTTTGCTTCACTTAACATTTAGTGTTTGTTTTATTTCCATCGGTTCGTAAATAGAAAAGATATATCAATCTAAAGAATGCCCACCCGTACGAAGCTCGGCGGATTGCTAGTATTTGTATACATACAAATATATCCACTATTTTATAGAGAAAAAATTCCAATAATAATTGTTTCTATTATTAGTCCTTTAAAGACTACTAGTAAAATATAGGATAGTACATACATATAGTAATTTAAACTCACCTTCCAGATCCTTCCGGGGATAATTCAACTACTTTTGCTGCCTCTTCTAAAATATCTGCCACTTTACCACCTTTGTTTGGATATAAAATTAATTCTTTATCTTCTTTGTAGTTTGGACCGACCTAAAAAAGAAAATATAATTCCATTAAAAAAGGAAACTAGCTGTAAATTAAAAAAGACTGGGGCATGAGTCATAGAGAACACATAGTTAGAAGGTAATCTAACTAGTTAGAAAGTAATCCAACTAAAAGACAGTTTTTTAACTAAAATTAAAACACCGAGAAAACCCGCACAAAAAGAAAAAAAAAACAACACATTTAATATTTAAAAAGTACCCTCGTGAACTTACCCATAAACATTTAAACTGTTTCTTGTTATCCAATTCATTAACTTTAATAGATAATATCTGGTAGAATAATTTCTTAGGGCACTTTGGTTTACAATGCACTAGTAAATCCTTGAGTATTCCATCGTAGGAATATCTCAGTGGCAGTCCTGGTGTATCCTTGTAACTATAACAAAAAATAAAATATATCGAAACATAATAATAAAATAAGTTGCTCCAATAACTATGCACTTTATAGTACAATAACAAGTCGATCAATTAGATATATAGCAACAAAAAATAGTGCAAAATACATAAATCAAATTACATGAAATAATTATATCATGACTTAATACTAAACCCACTTAATCCTCTTTTTTTTCTATTCGTATTTCTACACCAAGGTCAGATATAAGACTAATTACTACTGTCCTTCCTTCCTAGGGTTTCTTAGATCATATTATTAGATAGAAAATACATTTGTATGCTGTTTCACATCTAAAATAGATATTACTTTATGATATAATATGTTCAATATGTTTCAAATATCATCTTAAATTACTTACTTTTGACACTTGAAGAACTGTATTAAGTAGGGATCAACATTGAGCCGCTGTCCGACCGCCCGCGCCATCTGATCGTAACGCATTTGCATCGACAACTCCATCGTGAATCTAATTGGTAAATTATAATTTATTAGTAACGAAGTAATATTAAACAGTACACTATTTATTTACACGCTTTTCTTTTTTCGAAATAATATGACGACGCTCTGAACAAATGGTAATTACATTACTACTCGTATGAGATAGAACAAGACAGAAATCATACGTGCACCTAGCGTAAAAAAATCTGCAAATCAATTTGTGTGCCACATTACTAAAAGTTGGAGTTTAATTGTTTCGATTAAAAAAATTACATAAAAAAAAATTAAAACCTAATTAAGAAAGTCCTCCTTTTTTGAGTTCAGTAGATAAAATATAAGAAACACGTAAGACCGACACGAAATATTAAAATTTATTTTATAATACCCATCTTTTTGAATCTGAAGTTATTCATAGTCAAACCAAAATAAAAAATTCTAATATTGATTAAATCTATCATTACACTGTATCTGATGGATACATATAACTAGCAGAAAAATCTAAATAATTTGGGATCGACACAAACCATTAATTTATCAACAATTCAATAGAAATTTAAATAAAGAGAGAAAAATCACTAAGTATATTGCTAAAAGAAATGTACTTTGTCTATATGTAACCTTACATGTGTAGTTCACGGAATAAAACCTACATTTTGTCTATGGTTTCGTTCAAACCATAAACAAAAGAAGGTTGAATGGTAGATGCATATACGCGTAAAATTATTACTGTACAGATCACATACACACGAACGCATGTATTAAAAATTTTACTCAAGTTATTTGCTTATATCGTTAGCGGTAAGAAACTCACCCGGGATCATTAGGCACGGTTTTGTCTACAAACTGCACCTCGACCTTGTGGAATATGTACTTGAAGTAGTCCTGGCACGTGGGCAGCTCGAGGTCCTCATGTCGGTGATCAGCACGCTCGAACACGATGATATCGCCGTCCATCAGCTCGTCCAATACCTGGCCGCGTGCACACGACTCAACCCAAGGGGTAACTAGTTTGTGCCGTCCGTCCGTAGCGGTCAAGCATCCAATTCATAACTACTGCCACTGACATTTCTCTATTTTTATCTATACAGGCAGATGATCCGATTGATCGTAAGCAACCAACAAGGACCATGAACTCTTGCAATACAGCATCGCAATATAGCATGGTCATGAATTACAGTGCCCAGTAATTTCATTGTTATATATTTTACTGCGTTACCATTTAAACCAGAACATGTCACTCAAGTTAAATGCGTGACGATAAAATAGGTGAGGTAGAATCCGTGTAGAATATTAATTAGTAAACAGCCTCACTGCAGTAATAATTTATATCGTAGTATGAATTGGAAGCTTTATATACGGTCAAACGGCGACTAAACATCGACATTCAGTGAATAGAAACAAATTTCATATCAATTTGCAATTACAACTTTCAACATGGATGAGCTTGAATTGAACTATTTCGGGCCCGAATGAGAAAGAGACTTCCGTTATATTTAATTTCAAACCCGGTGTCTATAATGGCTCGCGTTTCAAGATCAAAGAGAGATAATGAAAACATATTATTCCTACTTAGGTATATACAGAAGTTGTAATACCAAATTGACACAAACAAATAGTGGCATAATGATTAGAGCTGTGTATAGCATAATGATATAAATATGTGTTCCACAAAAAATCCAACTTCAATTAAGGCAAAACCTTTTAAAAGTTATTTTTATTTAAAAAACTAAGGAACTGATTTTGATATAATTTCTAAAGGACCAATAAGTAAATATATCCTTTCCAAATCGGTTTACAACTGACGTAGTTATGAAATAATAATAATAAAAAAAATACAACCGAATTGAGAACCTCCTTCTTTTTGAAGTCAGTTTATAAATTTGACAATATCGTCTATACAGCAATCAAGCATGAGATGGACAAGCTACTGATATCAGTACCATGCCTGTCATTTGAGTTAAAATCTAATTCATACCCTTAGATCCAACTACAAAATCGATATTGGGTATTGTTGAGAAATCTTTTGTAATCTGAATCTCGTCAGATGTCCATTATGTGATTTCTCATAATATACAGTAACCTAGCTCCAGAGCTAGGCAACTGTGACTCCTATTGTCTTTAATTTTAGATATTATTTATAGAATAATTGCTTACAATTCATATCAAATCTCTGATACACGAAGCAAAAAAGCTTTATTCAATATGACGACATTTGAGATGATATGGGTGACAATATAATTACATATCATATTTTCTTTCGTTTCATTTACTATAGGCAAGTTTGTTTTTATGCAACTTAGAATTGCAAACAAGCTGAAGAGCACCTAATGGAAAGTGGTAACCGTCACCTATATACATGAACAGTAAGTACCATGGGCATAACAGAGTAAACTGTACAATTAAGTGTCGCTTTCTGTTCTAATAGCCTTAAAGCCTACTGACAAATGAGCTTGTTTCTTATTCATATGAAATTTCATTTATTTTCTAATTAAATGTAAATTCAGAAATTTTAAATGTGAATTTTATATTAACTAACATTAACATAATTATCAATTACTGAGCTGTATCTGAGGTAATCCATTAAGATGACTCCTTCAGCATTAATGATAGAGACTGGCAAGCAACCAAAATTAAAACTTAATTTTCTTCTTTAAGGTGCAAATTGGATAACATGTTTAAAAAAGAGGGCTTAACAGAGATTTTTTTCATTAGCTGGAGTAGAATATTAATACAATCGTAATATTATTAATATACATTCTATATCTAACACAAATGACATCAAAATTGACGTATACAACACCAGTCTTATGAATTCAATTACTACATAAAATACTCCTATACAAATTACAAATACATACTAATAATATGTTTATAAATATATAGCAAATAAATATTATTTTCTATTTAATTTCTATATACATCAGTCATAAATTCGATAGTCAAATATATGTAATATCTAATTACTTATAACTAATAAAAGGTGTGATAGAGTAAAACTGATAAATAATACCTTTTCGAGAGGATCATTGTAGTTGTTGATCTTCTCCACAAAGTCCGGCTTAATCTCTTCGTACAGGACAAGTGGAGTGTCAGGTGGGAATCCTGAAGAAGATAAAAGGATTTCTTTGAGATATCAATATAGTAACAGCGAAATAAATTTATTATAGTGCTAATCTGTTTATGCATAGAGATTCTTGAAACAAATATTATATTACCCCTTCCTGTCCCATGAGTGTTGTAAGAGATGATGATTAAGGGAATTTAATAGTCGAGATTGGCAGCAACATCCCTCTTAAAAACATCATTTAGCCTATCTGTGATTACTAACACACCTGGCAAGCGTGGCAAGTATTGGTAACAACCACGCCTTATGGGGAAAGACTATGTCCAGCAGTGGACAGTTACTGACTGATATAATAATAATAAATAGCACGCCACCTTTGTGTGGGACACTGCCACGATGTGACAGATGTACAGAGAAGTCATTACACCACTATACAATTCACATCCCTACAACCATCTTTTCCTTTCGCCCGTACGCCAAGCAGTTGATCAGAGTGCCGCGTACAAAGATTACGGGCTTTTGTATTGCAAAATAAACTTTAAAAATAAATATAATACATTAATAAGTGATAATAACCTGCTCGCTTATTAAGTATTGGTACAAGGTCGGCGAGCTTGCTTGCTATGGGCCTGTAGTGATGACCACAGTAATGTATGCGCTTCTGTTTGGGGTCGTAGAACTTGAAGAATAATACTACATCATTCTCCTTATCGAAGTTCGGAAGTGCGGTCAAACCGGAGTCCGGAGGCAGCATTTCGAGGAAAATGTTCCAGGGGTTCATGTTTTCTGATACGTCTGCCACTGTCTTGTGTTGATCATTGACAATATCTAAACATGTTGGTCTGCATGTCTGTAAAATACCAAAAATGATGAAACTGATAACAGATATTTTAATAAATTAATTATTCACGAAGATCCTATTTTCTCTCAATATATTTAGTCTAAATGACTTAGGATAAAATATCCGTAAGTTTGAAAATTCAGTAATTATTAATTAAAATCAATAGAGAAACAATTCATTTTTTGTTATACCACAAAGGTAGCAGCAAACAAGTATACAGCCTTTCTGATGGTAATGTTCTATCTTTGCATATCCAAATGGGTTGGGGCATATAAATTACCTGATTAGAACGTGCGCTGAATGGCCACGGACGAAGGTGTTTCTGTGGGTAGCGGAAGTTTTCCGCCAACATCTCCATTAGCTCTGCGACAGTGGCCTGCTTGCGGACGCGGAACACGCGGTAGTGAGCGCGCTCCGGATCATACAAGTCATTACCCTGGTGGCCGTCGAACGCTTCTTCTAACACTACGTTCACGTTCATGTAGAGATGCGCCTCGTTTCGCTCTTTGCGCCGAATCTAATAAGAATTAATATAATTAGTGATTTGTCAAGATTTTACATTTCGAATTCAGAAAGAGACAAAATACCAATGAATGATTTAAGTTTGTAAGTGTTTGGCTTTTTTCATTTAAAGGAAGATGTAATATAACATTCCGAATTACAATAATGGTACACATACTGTCTCAATCCTCTTCTCTTCAGCCAACCTCTCACTTAATTCTGTGGGTATATCTGCTTGGGTAACTTCTTGTAAAACTGTTTTTAATTGTGAATCCCTGAAAAATAACCATGGAATTCATATAGGGATAATCTTGTTAATATAAAATCTTACAGCTGCGATACTGTTTGTGTGTGGGTAAAAGTTTCTCTAAATAACTGGTTTGACTGACCATAGATAGATACAAAGCCTACTGAGCTGATTTAAACACCTATGTAAAATATCTATGTACAGTTACTATACCTATATGTTGAAATTAAAAAAATATCTGTATACTCCTATATACACAAATACTTTTTAATTTTCTTAAGATTTCCTCAAGAAAATTAAAAAAATTTGCTCACATTATATTGAATTAGCTATATATTGAACATAATTTATCTTTGTAAGCTAAGTAACGTGTGAAACATCTATACACTCTCTCATATTGATATTAGGGGTTCCATATCAGAGAAACATATTCAAGTATACTGCAGATGTATGCATTAAAGAGTAGATTTTTAAGGGCCTAACACCTGTAAATTCTGTATGTGTTCAATTGAAAAATCTTAATTAAAATTAACTATATTATCAATATGCCCATTAAGTAGTTTTGAATCCAGTATCACTCTTCAATTTACATCAGCCACCTCCTCAATGAACTCATTATTGAAAATATATTTTGTGGATATTATATTAACATTTCGAGTAAATTTTATATGATAACATTTAGAAGAAATTAGAACCATCTTATTTCCATCAAATTGATATTATGACTGTATTTCAGAGTACAATCTTTATTGCTATTATGTGAAAATAAGTTTGTTTTTTTTTTACCTTATACTGCCTTAATGACTTAACCAATTAATATAAAATTGAGTTTACACATGTTAGAGAAGATTATATGCTACTTTTTTATCCTAGTCAGTAAACAAATCACAGACACGGAGACGAAGTCGCAAGTAAAATCTAATAAGTAATATATTAACATAATAAATTTTCTTACCTGATATAGACCAACATGTACGCATTAGTACAGTGCCGTACTGTAAGGGCCATGTCCTCGTCGTGGCCGCCATAGTTGTACTCGATCGCTTCCTGCTTGGTGCAGCGTGACACCACGTCGTCGTCGAACTTACACCACTGTTGCACGACAATCATTGTGATTATTTCTTATAGACACACACATTTGTATTTAAGTTTAAAAAAAAAAAAGAATTACACTTGTCATATCACTGTTAAAATAAGAATAATAAAAACCTGATGTCTAATTTGACAGAAAAGTGTTTATGACAAACTGAATAATTGTATATGGTAAATAATAAACCCAAGACATGTTATGAAAACAGTTAACATTTTCTCTGTATATAATGAGGTATGAAAAGTATCTGAAACTGGTATATGTGCATTAAACAAGATCAAATTCGATGAAACAACACATACAAAATCTTTAATAATCAGTTCCATTGCCTATGCAAAACTCTATTGATAGATATGATCATATATATGAAATACTGACCTTTCCGTCACCTTTAGGATTAATGAAGACGACGTAATGCCCCCCGTGGTTGTCACCAGAGTGAACGAGCACAGCATGCAGTGTATAATCTGCAGGAGTTTCTGGCTTTTCTTGTAAATATGCATCCAGATTGATGTGTTCGTAAAATTCAAACCTAATAACATTAATTTACAATTGCATTTCATTTGATCGTGTGATTTTAGTGTTAATTTATATTGTGATGTGAACAGTATTGCGATAGTCGTACAATGTATAAAAGTCCATTTCTAAAAATAGATATCATCACTACATACACATTCCAACCAGTATTTCCTGCATACAACACAATGCAGGAAACAATGACATTGGTAAACTGCAGCTGGCAATCCTATTAATATTATAAATGAAAAAATTTGTATGAATAAACAGATGTTTGTTACTCTTTCACATAAAAACTACTAAATGAATGTAAATGAAATTTGGTAAACAGGTAGGATATATCCTAACTTTGCACATAGAAACTTTGCACATAGAATACTTTACGTACTGATTCACGCGGACGAAGCCACGGGAAATAGCGACTAATAAAGCTATACTTAAGAAAACAACTATGAAATAAGATGTTATTTGTAATAAAAAAAAACTGATGACTATGAAGTAGCCTCTCAAACAAATTCTCTTTCCTCCCTTTACACAGCTAATGTAAAAAAACTAATTGGTTGCGAAAACCTCGCTAACCAATTTAGAAGCATTCTACTGCACATCTACAATTATACAATGGGGTCGATTCTGACGCGCCATTTCTCTAAACCTATTTCAAAACTTAATATGGACGCTAATTAATAAACTATCAACTTGATAATTGCTGTTTTATGGACTATAATAAACTAAATTTATAAAATGAATTTGGGCTTAAATCTATATAATAATTTAGTTCATATTATTCCTTAGAATAAAGACTTTGCTGTAATATCAAATTTAATTTTAGAGAAGTTTATAATAATGGTGTCTCAGAATCGATCCCAATATATACTAATATCCAGAGCAGCCTTACCTGTCATTGAACTTGACCGAACTATCTGTGATAGGATCGTATTGGAATCTCATTAGGTGTAAGTGCAGGACCGGCGGGAAGGAAGCAAAGATGACGCCCTTCTCTGCCTCCTGCAAGCCGTGCTCGCCGGCGTCGTATTTATTCTCGCCGTCGAGTGTCTCGGTGCTTATATAGTCTTTGAATGATTCGTCAACTAAAAATTTATTGTCTCAATTAGTTTATGCTGTAACTTTAATATTTCATCCAAAAGAAACCTATTTCAATTATGTCCATATTAGTATGGAACTAGTATAGTAGCGAACCTCATAACGGCATAATAATATTTTTATAATATTTTTTTTTATTTATTTATTCATTAGTACAAATATGTGTACATGGCGGACTTAATGCTAAAAGCATTCTCTCCCAGTCAACCATGGGAAAGTGTCAGAATACTCGAATGCGGTACTACTATATTCCATGTCAAGAAGGGATTTTATTTTAAAACAAACTATTATATTATAAACATTAAACGTCGTCATATCTTTATTATTTTGCAAATAATAAAAAATAAGGGGATTAAATTTATCAATAAGAAGGTAAACACACTGTAGATATGAAAAAAAACAACAAGTGTGTAAAATGACCTTACGTACAGTAAAATATTATAAAACACACACATATATGATATTTAATATATTTTATATAATATACAATTACCAAATAAATAAAAAAATATATTTGTAAAGAAAGAAAAAAAGTTAATAGGCATTAAAAACATAAAGAAAAATATAATGAAATAAAAATAACCAAATGGTCAATAAATAACTTACTATTTTTCTTTCCCTTTATATTGAGTTGTATATCATAGAATGTTTCGACGCGTGTACTAGAAACGTTTACATTCTTGCACTTAATGTATGAAGTCATCTTGCCTTCGAAAAGTCTTGGCACGGTGCCTTCCACACAAGTACCTTTCATTTTGCTCTCCAATTTATCAAGGAGCACCTAAAGAAATTATATGATAATAAATTATAAAATTGATAAATTTTATTATAAGCATAATTTAAATGACTATTCAAAAATGCTTATTAATAAATTTACTTGAATAAAATTAAATTCTTTATTATTATTATATTCGTCACCATTAAAAATACATTTAAAGTAAAACAAAAATAAATACTAAATGTAATTACGTTTACTATTTTTGTTTTACTGATAACTTCACGATCTTAATAATAAAAAGAGTAAATATTCTTCAGAGAAATATTTGTTTTTAGAAATATTAGAAAATGTAATTAATATACCCTCAAAAACTCTTGCACGTCATGTTGCATAAATGAGTCCAGTGTCTCCCAACCAAAACTTTTGGTTAGTTTCTTTGTGCCAACAGGTTTGTCTGAGAACTGCAGCTCATAAAACACTCTTTGAAGAGCTAATGCTACTGATCTAAAAAAATAATTATCAGGTTACAAATTGATTCTTGTAATTTAAATCTTGTTAGAATTGAAATTATAAATATTAAAGTTGTAAAATTATTGTAAGTTTAAGGAATTCTGATGCCCTTCATTAGCAATATACTCTGTCACAATAGACCTCCACAGTTAATTTCTAGAAATTCATCATGGTGGTCACGTCATCATCCTTCATAATTCCCCGCTGTAGTATACTATTAGTATAGGCAAAGCGCCCTTCCATCCTTACCCAAAATAAACCTTTCAATACGAAAATCCTCTGAAATTGTGCGACCATTTTTTTTATGGATGGCAACCCCGCCTGTGCTATCGGTATATGTTGACAGGGCACCAGTGAGGAATCATAGGCGACGATGAAAGCAGGTCAGTTAGCCCATCGTGATAAATTCCACTACAATTAACTATGATGGTTTCCAGAGTGAATCACGCGGAGGTCGACCTGATATGAAGGTATATTGCTGGAATTTAGTCAATTAGACGCCATTACTAACAATCCTTTCCCCCCTCCCCCTTCACTCCTCCTCTTGTGCGATCAATTAAGTTGTAACATGACCATAAATCACGTTGCAAAGTCTCAGTAATCACGTTTCGATGTCTCAGAATACACCTAGTGTTGAATAAAATATTACATAAGATAGATGTATTCCCGTATGGAGTGTGATGTGATGTGAACTCTATTACACACTTACTATACACACCACACTTACAACACTATTATATAGTTAGTGTAGAGACGAATGACTGGAATAAGTTGAAATTAACTTATAAATATATAAAATAATATCAATGTGTAAATAATAACGTTGCTGAATATAAACTAAAATAACCTCCTTTTACAAATTCTTTTTAAAATCTCCAATAAACCTTTTCCGTTAATGCTATATCACTTTTTTTAAAGGGACAAATTTCTCCATTAGGTAAAATAGGTTTATTTGCAGTTTGTAATTTTTATGAATATGAGGGCAATATTTTACCTAGTACTGTCATCAGATTCTGTGGGCATTTTGTAGACTGCCTTTCGTAATTGATTTGTAAAATAAAGCGTCTGTAAGAGAGAATTCATGTAGCAGGTTGCACCTTGATTCTTGAGACCTGAAAATAATTATACATTAATCACATTAAAAAATGTTTAATTCTATTCTTATTTATTAATATATTTACAAAACACCATTTAATATCTTTCACATTAACAACAGTTTTTATTCTAAATTCAATCACCACTTTGTTTAAATTATTATAATAAATAGACAAATATACTTAATTTGTATTCTTTGTATAATATAGGGAAGAAAAGAACAGAATATTTATCTGTAAACGATGGTATGAAAACCTACCAACATATCCTGTATGTTTCTTAGAATCCCAAGAAACTCCATGAGGAGCTTCAGCTGTCACATGCACCTCCAATGTGATTGAATCATCTTTTATATAACCCCTCTCTGGATCCAATACATCACTCCAACCCATGAAGTGAGAGAAACCCCAGTCATTTTCTTTGCTGTAAAATTAATTTTAAATTTATTTGTAAATCAATACCAAAAGTCCTGATATAACAAAATTGCAATTACAAATGAATTATCTGTACCCGCAAGACATTTAAGAAAAATTTACGAGAGATTTTAATAAGAAAAACAGTATTTTAAAAAATGTTTGGCTCTTTGTCTGTTTTTGTTTGTATGTTTATTCAGATCTAACTTAATAATTGATGTATGTATTATTTTAATACACTATTTAGATGTGATGTATCTCATTACACAATTAAAAAATAATTTGAAAATGAAAAAGTGGATATAAAAGACTGCATTTTGGTTTTATATATATACCTGTAAAACAAATGTTGAATTTTTCTGTAAAAGGGTTCAGTCTCAGGCTTGTGAGAGATGAGCCTTAGCTCAGCCATAGCATAACATGACCAGCTCGAAGATTCACTCTCTCCATTGCACTGAAGAAAGAACCCAAGTGACTTCTGCTGTTGACGATCAGGCGAGGGGGCTTGTCGGGGCATAACCATTATTTTCCAGGGCAGGTTACGGACGTAACAGGGAGGAGATAACACAGAATCCTTGAGATTTCGAAAATTCGGTACCGTGAAACGGAACGTCGCTTCCGATCTCGCTTCGTCATCTTCCATTTCAGTATCAAGACAAGCCAACTGAAAATACAAAAAAAGAAATTAAAATAGACTGCAGTAACTTTGACTGAATTAACTTTACAATGTGGTTTCCCAATGCTAGTAAAACATGTCTATTTTGTAGTTTTAAAATTTGTATTAATAAATAAAAAAAAAGAAATTATAAACTAAATTCACCACAAACATAACACCTTGTAATGAATGATAAAGTATTATAAATATTACATTATAAACAATATAAAACAGTAGTATTTATTAGTAGTATAGTAGTGGACAGTAAAAATTGCATTTTTTATGCAACTTAGAATGACAAACAAACAAAGGGTCCACCTGGTGAAAAAATGATAACTTTAACGTCACTTTAAGACATGAACAGTGACAACGACCTAACAGAGTACACTGTGTCGCCCATGATACCCTATATGCATTGTTGTTACATTTTGTTTTAAATATAACAAAATATCCAATAGGATCCAAAGGTAAAATACCTTTTTCAATTCAATCCAAAAATTTACAATTGTAATATAGAGTAACAAAATTAGTAACATTATAATCCCATTAGTTACAGGAAAAAGAAACAGTGAAGTTCACTACTTATAAAAAAATATTTTGGCACATAAATAGTTGAAGTGACTATCTTTAAATAGAAATAATATAAGTATGATATCATAACTGCCCCTATATTCTAACATAATATAAAATGAAAATAATATAAATGAATTCTTATTTACATTGTACTAGTTTTTAGTTTTTCATTGTACTAAGACTATGTCGGCATGACTGGGATACATTCACTGACCGGTATAAAAAGTGGTCTATAATAACCTTCTCCATCCCACATAGTATATGTGTACCAAATATTATAGTGATTAAATAAGCCATTAAGGTTATATAAGGTAACAAACTCACTTTTACATTTATAATATTAGTAAAGATAACTCATAAAACTTCCATATCCTAATTTGACATAATTATTAAAGTGATTGGACAGTCACAAAGACTCAGATTATGACCACAGTAAAACAATAAAGAACAGTAGCTAAATATGCCTGAAATAGGAGACAAATTACTACAATAGGAGTCAGTTAAGATATATATAACTTACCGGCATGTCAGAAGATGTGGCCTCCTGGTTTTTCATTACCTCACTCATCACAACCTCACCATTAGGTCCTTTCATAAGATCGTCTTCCCAGGTTTTGTCTGTGGCCGTATCTACAGTTTCCACTGTAAAAAATACTTATGTTTAAAATTTTCACTGTTTAAGAGATTTGAATCAAATCTCTTCAAAGCAATGGAATACAACTAGTTCTGAAAAAGTGCTAGCTACCTCCGTAACAATATCAAATAAATTCAATGCAGTATTAAATTATTCAATATTTAAATATCTCCCTAAGCTTTATCTAAATCCAATCAATTACTTTAACACATTTTAATGCCACTCACAATGAAACAGTCTCTCCATTGTTTTAAACCCATTCAATTTGACATTACTTAACTTAATGACATTTCAAAAAAATTTATCACCAACCAGTGACATAGAAACATAATAAAGTAAGAAATAAGACTCAATTTATTGCATTACAAAGAGATCCAATAAATTAGTAAAATTTAGTAAAAAGTTATTATTTATATTGCAATAGACAAATTAAAGCCTTTTGAATAGAATTAGTCTTAATTTTCTATTTACAGATTTTCCCAGTTAATGCTTCAATGTCCTAAAAGACAATAAATGAAGGTTAGTTATATCTATTTGGTAAACTTTTAGCCTGGTCTTATTTTTTTATTTCATCTTTATTCTTGTATCTTATAAAAAACATTATTTCTTTTTAAAGATGAAACAGTATGACAATTATTATCATTTAAACTGAAACTACCTAACAGTAGATTATAGCTAATTCATATTATACTTTTCTCTTAGTATATGTCCTAGAAAAATTTCTATCAAAAATAATATAAAATTATAATATTTCCTTTTAACATTTAACTATCATAAACCATTTTTCCTGAAGAATACCTAGTATAGATACTTAATAAATGTGTACAAAGAAATCTTATAGCATCACTGATAAAAAATTTCAGTGTCTTTTCCAACCTTGACATTGGCAAAATCAATGAAGCCATAATTTAAAAAAAAATCCTAATAAGGTTTCAGTATAAAGTCACTTCAGCTGATTCCAGAGAAAAACTCTAATTTGATTTTGTAAAAGTCCATAGATTATGCTAATAGCTTAACATTAAGTAGGCCCCTATACTAGTCTGAACTATATTCATAATAATACAAAAAGCATTGATCACTGATATTACTGAAAAAATGTTTCATGATTGAATCCTCCACAAATACTACCTGTAGATAAACCATCATATATCTAACACAATATTCTGTAGAATATTAATATTTTTAGCACTTTTTAATCTACTTGTCTATCTACATTCAGATAAAATCATAATTTTTTTTAATCTACAGTAAATACTATATTTAAATTTAATGAAAAACATTACAACACAAATACTTTATGACAAATAGACAATTGAATAGGTATTTATTTGATTTTATGATATTTTCTCACTGTTAAGATCATATAGCTGAATATGGAACTGTTTATGTATTCTATAAGAACTTTGTCAATACCAATTCAAAGCAAATAAAATATTCTATTCTATGATGAACACTAATCAATAAATAACAATTTGTTATAACTAATTAATAGCTATTTAGATCAACAATGATAAAGTGGCATGAAGTCAATAATGATTTAATTACAATCTGTGAACCTAGCAGTACCAATTCCAAATTTTTATTTCTAAAGCTTCCCAGCTGTATAAACTACATGCACAATTATTCTGACATCTCTATTGTATCATATGAACACTATTTCATTAAATACCTATTAACCATACTAATAAATTAAGTAATAATGTTATTAACATTTTGAGGTAACAAATTATAACATCAAACAGTATTCAAACAATGGAGCTATATTTAGAACTTCATAATTGTAAAGCGACTTGCACTTTTGGAACAAAGGATAATATACTTCTTATTCAATTTACAATAAATAAAAACATAAGGTATAGGATCAATTTCAAGTTTATAAATTACTAGTATAAATCAAATTAAGCTTGAGTAATAATCAAAGACTGATGATGTATTCAATATTTTTGAGGTTAACAACATTAGACATTATGCAAATTATTAAGGGTCTTGTGCTACGAAATAAAAGCAAAATCAACATTTATTCTAAACATTTTTAAATGTAATGCATAGATTTAGTAGCTGCTATATCCTTTAAGATTTCAATTACATAAAAACTCAATCATTGACAAAACAATTGGCTTCAAATCATATGTTAACAATAACAAATAAATATTTTTAGTTACACTAACCGTCCTGGGTTTCCATCTCCTCAACCTGGTTTACATTGGAGTCGTGCTGTTGCCTGTCTGGGGCAGGCGTGTGGTTCATGTTAGCCGGGCGCGCCACGGGGGACTCTCGCCCGCAACTTTTTGATATTTCCTGAACAGATGTCACACTTTACAAACACAACTAACCGCAGGGTTGCACAATGTTCCAAATACTGCACTTCACCTACCTTTAGCGCCAGGGGATTGCTCCCTTTAGACTTGCGAAAAATTCGTTGAATAAATTTCAACGAACTTTTCTCATCGACTCGGCTACCTTGCGCACCTGGATTTTTAGATTTCTTAGCCGATAAGGTGTTAATTTTCAATGAGTGTTTACTAGCGGCGCGGCCGATGTCTGCAAATTTCAACACAAGGGACCAAATATAATAGGTACGCTATTAGCACATTCCTTAATCTTCAAACCACAGCCTGGATTACATGTACTTTGTTGCGCGACGTAATAGTACAAAAATTCACTAAGGTATCCAGATATAGAATTATTTTCTCGAAAATAAACAAAATGGTGGATGATAATTTAATTTCTATCTTCGGATGTGTGGCTGTGGCCCGGTTTGATTTTACGAATGCACCATTTTTAAGTTAGTTCCACTTTGTAAAATTTCTAATAACAACATTGATTTCTTTAACCATAAACTCTTACTTCTATATTTCTAACTAAGACAAAACAGCATTTCTTACAAAAAAATCCCCAAATGTACCAAAAGGAAACACACCATTATTTCTCACATTCTCTTCATTATAGTGATGTACCTTATTGTGTAAATGTTACGATTTCGATTCTGCTAAATCTTATTTATCGATTTGCAAATTTTGCTTTGTCACAACAGTCAGAAAATAGATCTCATAACTTTGGTGTTTTATATGCTACTTTTCATAAGGAAAAAATATGTATAATTCAAGAATATCAACCAACCAAAGTACTAACAGTGCCCATTCGTGAAACAATGGAAGTCGTAATTATTTACAGCTCAATTTTGATATTCAATGACGGATTACACTTGTCTACTTATGGCAATACTTAATTATCATAAAGTGAAACAACAGACATATGATCGATCTATCGAGCTCACACGTCTTCTTGACAAACTTCAAAAATACTGTTACAATATCTTGTAATATTTGTAATTGTTGTAATAGAAAAATAACAAATTGATAAACATCCCCCTTAATTCTTAATACAGACATTATAATGAAGCAGCAAAGCATAAATTGAAAGTATTTCTTTTTTTTCTTTTTTGATAAGTTGCATGCTCAATTTAAACATCGAATATTTTTATGATTTTATTCACATATATGTAATTTCATAAATTACAAAAAATATACTAGATTGAACTTTTCATCGGTATATAAATTTTTTTTTATGTCAATTCATAATAGAAAAAACGCTTTACTAGAATATTTGCAAATAATCTTTAAGTTAATTCCCTGAAATAGCATACTATTTTATAGAAATTTTAAAATAAGTTATCAATTTTTTTTTATTTACAATAAGTAAATAAAAAAAAACGAGAGAGGGAGGAGTGCATTTTTTTTATAAATAGTAATAGAATGGTAACGCAATCTGCGCTATCGATATAAGCTGGCGTGGCACCAGTGATAGATAACAGGTGAGGATGAAAGCAGATCAGTTAATTATGACGATTTACCTTACAAGTAACAACGATAGTTTCTAAGGGGAACCACGTAGAGGTTGATCTGATAGAGTATATTGTTAGCAATTATCAACAATCCCTTCCCTCGAGGAAGACTGCATTTAGATCTACGAGACTTAATTGTATTTAATGATAATAATTATTAAAAAAAAATATTGTTCTAGGTTTGCTAAAGGCAAATAATTATGTAGCATCTGGATTTTCTATGTAAAATAAAAAAAAAAATTGGAATCCAACCAAAACATAACATGTATGCTGTTTCTTTTTTTTTTTTAATGAATGATAATGGAATGGTAACCCTACCCGCACTATTGGTATACACCGGGAGAACCACGTGGAGTTCGACCTAATAAGGCATATTGCTAGCAATGGGGCTGTCAAACTCTATTGCTAACAATTTGATATCGAGAACAAAACAATTTTGTATTTTTGATACAGAACATCCAGAATACTTTCCACTGAAATAGACAACTACAATAAAATCATTACGCAACAGACCCCTAAATAAAATAAAATTACCCACAATAAAATTAATGTTGACGCAAAAAAGTCCATATAATATGGCGGTGAGAATTAAAAGGAATTGCATGAATGGCTAGTTTTTTTTTGATGGGTGAAAATGGTATGGTATTTCCGCCTGCGCTAACGGGATACGCTGGCGGAGTACCAGTGAAGGGTGATAGATGAGAATGAAAACAGATCAGTTAGTCCATCATGATGAATTCATTAGGAATTAACCATGATAGTTTACAGGGAGGTCGACCTGCTTGGAAATATTGCTAGCAATGGGATTCTTTGCCTCCATTACTAACAATCCCTTTCCCCCTCATGAATAGCTAGTTGAATCGTGTTTTTACTCTGGTAGGGATTTTATATCGGATTTAAAGGGTGGACATTTGTACGTATTATCGTTATATTTAATGCATATCCTACTTATTGACTTCTTTATGTTTTTTAGTACATCTCATTTTTATTGTTGACCATCTGATATCCAATTGTTATTTATTTTTACTATTTAAACTAATCGACTGAATAAATTAAATTGTATTTACATTTCTTAATATTTTAATTAATGCTATTTTATTTTAATATAATTTCGTAATGTTTAAATGCTAATTTTTTAAATTAAATTATTGTAATTTTTGTCAATATTTGCACACTTGATCTAACTAGATTTTGTAAAGTACTTTTAATTTATAAGATCAAATGTTTAATACCAAAAACCATGGCAAATCAAATTATTATTATAACAATCCCTTTCCCTCCTGTATGCTGTATTAGAAACAATTCTAAAATTGTCTTCATATTAAAGTTTAACACAATTTATAATAACTATAAAGCAGAGATTAAAACAACAGAGATTAACAAAATTTATATAAATAATATATATAAAGATTGTAATAAAGGTCTTGTTAAATATATTATATATTAAAAATGTATCTGTTGAAACAAATTGAATATAATTATGTACCTATATAATAATGTACTTTATCCCTGCATTTGTATTGGTGTGATTGTGTATATGGATGTTGAGTTTTGCGTACCTTTTAGTCCCTTATGCTTAGTCTGCTTCAAAGATTTCTGTAATTCCTTGTAATAAACATAATAATAAAGCAAACCTAAGAGGTCTGCTTTATTATATCAGTGGTTCTTAAGAGCACTAAAATTTTATATTTTGTATTATGTCTATATTGTTAAATTGTTAGGTACCTATTCTTAATCTATGTACTATTCTTACCTATGTTCTAACTTCAAAGACAGTCTTAAAAAAAACAAATGTCAGATTGATTGCTATGATCTATGACTGACGGCTTTAAGTTTACTGTCAATCACAATGTATGTCAGTTCCATTCGGCTTCAATAGATACATGTTTGTCTCTTCTTTTTGTCTTGAATTAGTTTTTCTAAATTTTGACTTAAATTAAATAAATTTATTTTATGCTATTCTGTTTGTAGTAATGATATTTATAACAGATTTTATTATGACATTAAATTAGAATTTTTGTGGTACATATGACTAAAGCGGCATTACTTTAAGTATCTATCATAAAATGTTTCCCACAAATCACAAAACAATATTTGTTTTGGATCATACTCCTTACTTTGGTATATCTTCGGATTATCCTATAGACTTTGATAGTTCGAAGAGCAGGGGTCCTGGTTATGTACCTTTACCGCCTATTTGCAAATCGTTATGGACGTGTAGCGTGGAAGCTGCTGTTGAGTATTGTCGGATAGTTTGGGATTTGTTTCCTGAAGGAAAATTGGTTAGTATAGTTAGAATACCTTTAGAAGCGGTATTATTTTTAATTAACTAATTAACCAGAGGGTGACTTTGTACAAAAGTCGTTTGCTTTGGTATCTCTATCCCATTCGTGTTTCTACCGTAAAACAGTTGTGTTTGCATGGCTGTGTGTCGGTATGAAGGGTTATTTTTTTTTAAGGATGATAATGGAATGGTTACCCCGCCTGCGCTATCGGTATACGCTGGCGGGGCACCAGTGATAGATGACAGATGAAGATGAAAGCAGGTTAGTTAGCCCATCGTGAAGAATTTCACAAAAATTAACCATGATGGTGTCCAAGGTGAACCATGTGGAGGTCGACCTAATATATTGTTTTTTTTTATGGGTGAAAATGGAATGGTAACCCCGCCTGCATTAATGGGATACGCTGGTGGAGCACCAGTGAAGGGTGAAAGATGAGAATGAAAACAGGCCAGTTAGCCCATCATGATGAATTCATCAGGAATTAACCAAGATAGTTTCCAGGGAAAACCGCGAGGAGGTCGACCTGGTTGGGTATATTGCTAACAATGGGATTCTCAGTTTCCATCACTAACAATCCCTTTCCCCCCAGGGTATATTGTTAGTAATGGGGTTGTTAGATCCCATTATTAACAATCCTTTCCCCCCAGTATGAAGGGTGGAATATGGCAGTAAATTTACAGGGTACAGAGGAATAACACCTGAGTCCTTAGGAATGGCAACGCATGGGGGTATCATGGGCTAAACAGTATGCTCTTATGTTTATGGTACTATTTATGTCTATAGGTGAGGATTACCACTTTCCATTAGGTGGGCTGTCAGCTTATTTGCTATTCTGTCACATAAAAAAAATTAACTACAATCTGTTGTAAGCTGGTGTGGCTTTCTTCTGTTATAGATCTTGTAATGGAAGAAACTAATGAATATTAGCAAGTTAGGTTTACATACCTAACATGTCAAGATAACCCTCCCCATCTTTTATGTACTCATTGGATAGGGCTCTTTTTATGTGACGTTTTGTCATGCGACACTGTTTCTAAAATATATCGATTTTGCAGCGCCAATTACAATGAATTTTCTGATGTCTGAGTTATACAGAAATTAAACAGATTGGTGCAGAAAAAATTTACATATGACAAAAGTTAATCCCCTCGAGGAATCCTATCTGATGGGTGCATAAAAGTGGGGGTTATAGTGACATCGATATACACTCTAAGTCCAATAACCAACCAATGATACCTGGATATCCATTAACTGTTTTTTGGAGGTAACTTTAGTCAGTTGCCTTTCCACTAGTAGGGAAGCCTCTCTATGATTTGAATCCTCAAAAAGCTGCTAGTTGGCTATTATGTTGTTGTTTTTGTTTGGATTTTAACTATAGATTATTATTGAATCCAATCTTCAAAATATTATTATCACATTAAAATATATTGAATTATAAAATTATAGATTATCAATAGCTAATTTCAATATATTATAGCATGGCACAGTATCACTAGAATATTAGATACTTTTGATATATTTTTGCTCTCAATAATATTGTAATAATTAGAAATTACAATGCTCCTGTGCTCCTCTCTTTAGTAGTAATAATATTATATAATAATAATAGTAGTATTGGGTACTTAATTATTTCTTTGTATTTAATATTTTTCAGGTACGTTTTGTTGTTAGCGATTCAGCAGCACATATATTAAATACTTGGGCTATATCACAGCAAAATTTAACACATGTGAGTATTTTAATTATCAAGTAATGTAAAAGGAAAAGTATTCTAAATTACAAATGACATTGACAAAAATTAAAACTATCTGATCTGGCAAACATTTTATTTTATTTATTATGACATTTTGAATCATTCTTTGCCATATTTTTTTAATGGGTGATAATGGTATGGTAACCCCATCCACGCCATCGGTATACAATGGTGGGGCACAAGTGATAGATGACTAATGAGGATGAAAGCAGATCAGTTAGCCCATCTTGACGAATTTAACTAGAATTAGCCACCATGGTTTCCTGAGGAAACCACATGGAGGTCGACCTAACAGGGTATATTGCTAGTAGTGGGGCTATTTGACCTCATTACTAACAATCCCTTTCCCCCAATCTTTGCCATATTAGGTCTATCATTTAATTATGTATACTTGAAGAAACAGGAGTTCCATAAGTAAAATCACTGTCTAGTTTTGAATGTCAAAAATATTAAAATATATTTTTTAAATTTAATAATATTTTTAATTTATTTGTTATTTTTATAGATACTGAACGGCCTTTGTTTGGTTGGTCCAGTGCGGCGAGGTGCTGGTGGTGATGTGGTTGGACTATGTGCTGCTATAGAAGCTCTTGGTGAACCTTCGCCCACGCAAGCTTCAAGGCCTTCTACTGAGCGCCATTTTCAAAATAGGTTAAAATTATAATTGATTCTGAAATGATATTCATCCCTTAATAGTGTAAGATTGAAATCATATTATAAAAATGAAACAATTTTTTTGCATCTCTTTATGGCAAACAATTTGTCAGCCTACCTTATGAAAAGTGGTAACCATTGTTTATAATATAAACAGCTCCAAAATTTGGAGTATACACTTTGACACCCATTTCTCAGGATTAAGATGTTATGCCTCCATACTCTGGAAAGATATTTCCATATATCAAAAATATTGTAATTATTTATTTCAGCTTTACTTACATTTTAAATTTCCAAACTAATTTAGAACTCTATAGGAGCTCTTTCATTCATTCGCGCAGATCATTTCTGTGTTGCGAGCAGCGAGTGCTCACTTGGGGCTGATTGCATATCATTATACAATCATGGTGATGGGTTTGATTCCCTAGTAGATATGTAAATTGAGGTATCAAAGCATACCATATTGACTGTACTACACTCCAGATTCACATTCCCTCTCATATTCGGTGAGTGTTGGAGCTGGTTTTTAGCCAGGGGGCAGCGAAACTAGTCGAGTATCTACGAATTTAAAACGCGAGGAAAGCCTACGTAAATAATTACGATACAATAAGACTCACAATAGTTATTATATATACTATTCACAATAGATATTTGGAAAATATGTAATTAGTTTTACCATTATAACATTACTAGCTGATTCCCCCAGCTTTGTTCATATGCACCAGTATATAAAGTATATTATGTGTTAAGTTAGAACATGTTCTATATAACCAATTCATGTACCAAATTTCATTTCCATTCATTCAGCAATTTATAATTTTAGTAGGATTGTTTTTTTTATTAATATGTGTTTATATTTCAGGGGTCGCATTATATGTATTACTAGTGCAAGAGATGACGACTCTATCAGAAGTTTAGCAGAAATAGCATTAAACACATTGCTACAACAAAATAAGAAAGCATCTTTGGCACAAACGACAACTAATGCAGATGCTGGAAATGCTGTACAGTATGTTAGAAAAATTTACATATATTTGTAATATTATTACATCATACATTTGTAACATTTAAAATGATTTCTATAAATTTTCAGACCACTACTGGTACATTACTGTCATCTTGTAATTATAAATGTAACACCAGAAAAAGCAGAAACGAGAGTTAACAAACAACCACTTACTGAGGTAATTATATTCAATTCAAAAATACATTTATTTTCTTTGTCTGAATCCCTAAGCTTCGTTTGTGTGAATTAGGATAATAAATATGTAATTTATTAGTTTAGGATATGAAATTGAAATTGAAATTGAAATCATTTATTTGCTGGAATAAGGTACATTTTTAGGTGTTACTATACAAGAAAAATAGTCCAATCTTATTCTGCCACACTGTAGGCGTGCAAATATAAAAACTTATTAAACAAAACATTAAAATAATTTTATCATAATAACATAAACATTTGCAATAATATTTTGTCACTTTCTGTATCTATTCATGTCAATTCATTGTAATATTAAAAATTAATCATTAAAAATATACACAACACAAAGTGAACACTTATCTAATCATTTATAAATATTTTATCATTTAAAAACTCATTTACTGAGTAATAACATTTATCCATAAATATGGTTCACCTTTGTACAAAAAGTTAAACCATTCCAATATAGGCGCGATAAAGGCTTTTTCTGAGGCGCATTTTTTTAAACCTACCTCTTAACCTAACATTTAAATTTGATAGTTTCGCGAAATTACTGTTTTATGGACCATCATAAACTTATTTTTTAATAATTTTAACTTAAATCTATTTAATTCATATTGATCCTTAAAGTAATTATATCGCTGGGGTATCACATTTTAATTTTAGTTTAAGAGAGAGGTTTAGAGAAATGGCGTCATAAAATTTGAAACTATGCAGTGGGTTCGATTCTATGTTTGTCTGACAATCTGTATCTAGAGGATAAAAGTGATTAAAATTAGTTTGAAAATACCTCTTAAGTAAACGATAGGTCATAGATAATGTTTAGTATGTTAGAATTAATTTCTTCATAAATACAATGATCTACAAGATTTTATATTATTTGTTTTTTAGATGGGCGGGGGACAAATGGGCGTAGAGGTAATAGTGTCTCGGGCGAGCCAATTAGCTAACCTGCTTGGTCGGTTGGTGTTGCCACATTACAGGCTAGCTACAACCACAGTCACTGGCATTCCTATGAAGGTAAGGTATTACAGTATTTCATGTTTTTTAGGGTTCCGTACCTATAAAGGAAAAAACTGAACCCTCATAGGATCTCTTCATTGTGCGTTCGTCCGTCCATCTGTCAAGATCCCTTAGGAACGTGTGGAGGTATCAAGTTGAATTAATATTATATACTCAGGTCTGCAATCTCTTAAAACAGTGAAAAAATCAAGCTTCTACAATAGAGCGACGCAATTAAAAGATACAGCCTTTTTTGTTCCATTTATATCGCATTATTTGACATTCGCAAAGGGAATCAAAACCTAAAGGGTAAATTATGAAATTTGGCAAAAAGCAATGTCATATAGCGCAAGTAAAAGAAAAAATCCGAAAACCTTAAATTTGTAGTTATTTCACAAAAAAATTAACTTAATTTTGTACGGAACTCTTGTTGCGCGAGTTTGACCCGCATTTGACCGGGTTTTTTTATGGTTGAAAATGGTATGATGACACCGCCTGCGCTACATATTTGCGCTAGTGGGGTACCGATGATGGATTTTAGGTGGGGATGAAGTGGGACCAGTTGGTCTATTGCTAATAATTAATTGCGAATTTAGAATGACGTTTTTCTAGTGGGACTGTATGGAGATAACCTGACAGGGTAAATGATCGGGTAGTTATTACTTTTTACTAGTAATTCCTTCCCCCCTATTTACCACTGTCGTACATGTGTATTATTTCTTTTTTAAAGTGGAATAACCAGTATGAACTCTAATACAAGAGATTTAAATTAATTTTACCAACTTATATCAACGCCTAAGATTGTTTTATTAATAAATTGCTTGGTGTTAACATTGGGTATATTGTTCTGTACACAAGATAGTACTTTAATAAATATAATATTATTATAATAATATGATTTTTATCTTTTAATAGTATTCAAGATTATTTTCCTCTATATTGAACTTTATTATTAGGAAGAACAAAATGCAAGTTCTAGTGCCAACTACGATGTGGAAATTATACATTCGGCGGAAGCCCACGCTGGACTCAGAGCTGCACAAACAGCTGCTGAAGCTTTAGAATCAGTAAGTGTTATTAAACATTAAAGTATTACGATAATTAAATTTTTATCATGGATATTTGACAATTCTAAAAATTACATGTCAGTGCCCTTCAAATTCTTAGCACATACGAGTAGGATACCTTTAGCACTAATTTTCGCGGGCACAGTCGCGGGATATAGCTAGTAATAATATACGCTAAAAATGATTAAATTATGTATTAACTTACTATATACTTGAATCAAGAGGGTACCAATTCCAGTATATTTTGTATTTATGGTGTTAAATATATTTGTATTTGAAATTGTTTATAAACCAGATTGTGTTGCAAGGTGGTGCTCCGATGGTGGACGCCGCGGGGCGCGGAGGGCGGCGCGGGAAGCTGTAGCGGCCCTCTGTGGCGAGTAACACCGGCGGACGTCGCTAGTCGCCCTTCTGCCTGCCTTGTTAATTTCCTTCTTAATGGACGTTCAGTTACGCTCGAAGTGCCCAGGTAAAGTCCACTATGATGCCCACCATACTATCCTATGCTACTACAACAGAATAAACTATCAGTCATCATTTGAAAGTTACCTTTTTTATTTAATATATGTTTGAAATTGGTGTAATAAATTTAACGGCAACACTAAGGATCCCACAAAGTTGAAGCAGATTGGCCAGGCTGGTTTTAGTTCAGTATTCCTTGACTACAAGGAACACTTTATTTACAGACTAATGGGATTACCGCGCTATTCATTAGTCTCTGATAAGCCACTAATTAACTAAGTAATTTTCTATTACGTTATTCTTTATAATGTAATTATCTAGACATATTAAAGTTTTTTGTTGTAAAGTTGCCGTGTGGTCCCAGCATAGAATAGGCCACCCCTTCATCTCCCGTGAGTGTAGTAAGAATCGACTAAGGGAGGGCGAGGGATGGACAGCAGCGTTCCTCTTAAAACATCTCAAAAGTCTAACCACGGTTGCCAACCCGCCTGCCAAGCGTGGCAACTACTGGCAAAACCCCCCAAGCGGGAGGCTTATGTTCAGCAGTGGACAGTTAAAAGCCGATATAATGATGATGATTAAAGTTTTTTAAAACTAAATACTGATAACTATTGGTTATAAACATGAACAGTACCATTGGCATCATAGACTACACTGTGACAACTCAATAATATTTCTTATCTGTTGCCATTGCTTTCCTTCAAATGCATGCAAGTACAGCAGGCATTCTTGACAAGTGGCAAGCGAATTCAAATATGGAATCGATATCGCTAGCGAGTCCAATAGTAAGATAAAAACATCGGATGTCTTATTCCAACTCATGGACTCGCTTTCAATAAAGATTCTATTGATGGATTCGCTTGCGACATGTGTTTTACGATAAAAACACGAATGAGAAAGAGGTATCCAAGCAGATGACTTGTATATAAAGTTTCCCTTTGTTATGTTTGGTTCATCTTTGATGGAATGTGTCACCAGGAAAGGTGGCGGTCGGTCAGCGTCGCATGTACTGGCAGCGCAGGGCGGCGAACTATGGATCGGTGCATTGGGCGGTCGCACGCCCTACGATGACCCGCCCGCGCTCTCCGAAGGCGCCGGCGGACGAGTTACTGATTACAGGTTTGAATGTCCACCATCATTAATATTAAATCCTGTATTCTCTTTTTCTATTTAAGTTTTTCCTTTATTCACATGTTTTTACAACCGACTTCAAAAAAGAAGGAGTATCTCAATTAGATTGTATTTGTTTTTATATTTGTTACCTCGGAATTTTGTCATTTATAAATCAGTTTGGGTTTTTTTTTTTATCTGAAAGGATAAACTTTCAAATTGGTTTAAATTTAGTTTAAATCAAAATTGGTTATGTTGCGATTGAAATTAATGTTTTTTTTTTTTTTTTTTTTGGGTAATAAATCCTAAATTATTTAATATTTAATTTGAGTGTATTTGACCACAATCATACCTTACCATAAATGACGATATTGTTAAAGTGTTACATGCAAATTCACACAATGCCCATTCACTCTAGTCTTTAAAGACTTCATAGTAAATAAATGTGGAAACACAGACAGAGAATTCCACTTTTTAGCTGTTCGAACAAGAAACGATGAAGCAAAGCGTTTAGTATATATATATGTGGAATTTAAACTATATAAGGGTGTAATCGCTCCTGGCGCCTCGTTGTTCTAAAATAGTTAATAAACTTTTAAATGGATTCGTTTTTATTTTTTTATTTTGCAATTCTAAACCGATATCGACAATTCTTTTTGCAATAGATAGGATTTACTGTCGTGTTGGTTTCATACTTTACTTCATTACTTTGATTTAAAAACTATATTACTGAATCTATTTTGATTAAATTTCTAAACGATCAATTTGTAAGCATATTCTTTCTTTATGAGATAAAACAGTATTTTCCAAATCGGATTACTCGGTAACAAACAAAAAAATCGGTTGAAAACGTTTTTTACGAAAAGTAACACAAACTTTTCAGGATAAAAGAATTTGGTGCCCTAATGCAGCAGAATAGATTGAACCCACTACGAGGCAGCGGTGCGAACGGACGGGCGAGGGCTCGTCTGCAACGGCACACGACGTACTGGCCTCTGACAATATCATCTACACTCATATTTAATTTGGGATCTGTGAGTACTTCAATTTTAATGGCCTGTTTTCGCACAAATAGATAGAATTTTTAAAAAAAATAAAATATAGTCTATGTTCATCATTACCATTATGTAAGTCGTTAACTGTCCACTGCTGAACATAGGCCTCCCCCGTAAGGGAGGATTTTGTCAGTAGTTGCCACGCTTGGTAGGCGGGCTGTAGCCTATGTTACTCGCTGATAATCTAGCTTCCTATAGATGAAAGAATTTTTAAAACCGTTTGAGTAGTTATTGAGTGTATCTATTACAAACAAACAATGAAATGTTTATTTTTTTATAATATTTGTATAGATACAGATGATTACAAAGCACTTAGACCGAGTCATATTAGAGCCCTTAATGTATTTCGAGAGCATTGTAAGAATACTTAATGTCAATAAGCACTAATTACCCTTACATGAGTAAATGTAATATAGATAACTCCTATCTTAGTTAATTGGGGTTCTTCAAAACCTAAATATACCCTATATTAAGGTTTCTTTAAAGCCGGCAACGCACACGTGATACCCCTAGTGGTGCAGCGTTTATAGATTACAGTAACGATTTACCATCAGATGGGCTGTATGCTTGCTTGCCAATTTCGTGGTATAAAAAAAAAAACTTCTCGTTGTTTATCAATACATGTACTGTTTTAAATTTATGAAATTAGATTTCTATATGAATATTTTTAGTAATCCTATTTGCGCTATTAGTTTACGCTGGCACTATTGAGCGATAGGTAAGGATGGAGTCATAACAGGTCCCATCGTGGGGAACTGAACAAGTTATATAGTGTCAATAATTAATAATCCTTTCCTCCATTTTGTTAGGTTATGGAACCATTAACCAGATTAGTCGTACAAGAATCCCTGACAGACGATGAAGTAGATACCTGTCGCAATGTCCTGCTGTCATTGCTTGGAATGGAGTCACGACACGAATTTCCCGCCACACAGTTGCCTTCCAACGTGAGGTATGTATAATTTTATTTTTATACGTATCATTATCAATCATTATCATATCAACCATTGTCCGTCCACTGCCGAACAATGCCCTCCCCCATGGACTGCCATAAGGAACGGTCCTGAGCCTGCATCCACTGATTTCCCACAATGTATTTGATATACAAGTTACCCCATATACCAGTTCGTTCCTCTGTACAAATATAGTTATGAAATACTTTTAATTTTAAATGTAATGTATTTTAAATTATGTTTAAATATTTTTAATTTTAAATTCATTGTCAAAAAATGTTACATTGCAAAGGCGAGATATTTATACGAGATCTATACTAGGAAATCTAAAAACAAAAATAAATATAATAAATATAACAAAAATAAATATAATAATAACAAAAATAATAACTTAGTTGTATCAGGCTAATAACAATTGTATGATTTGACATTTTATTAAATGACTATAAATCTTATCAAGACCTCATATATTAATTTCTCAGCCGACTTCAAAAAGAAAGATTTTTCTCAATTCGTTTATGTATTTTTTTATGTTTGTTACCTCATAATTACATGACTAGCTGTTTTCAACAATTGTATCTTGCCGAATTGTGATTAACAGTATAGATACTATGTGTAATCTGGAATATATACATTCTATGTACCAGATTTATCTAACTGTTTAAGCCTGATTGAGCGACAAACATATAGACATACTAACAGACATAAGTTTGTGTTAATTCTATATCAGTGTACGTGTTATATTTTAATTATAACTTGTTAATTTGTTGTTAATAACAGTTAATGTGAATCGTCGTTATTATTGTATCGCAACGAATTCACAATTCCGAGAATTAACTACGATGATTTCTAAAGAAGAGAAGAGAAACCGCGTGGAAGTCAGTATGATAGAGTATTGCTATGGGTCTGCTAGTCCTCATAAAATAAAATAGAATAATCCTAATAAAATAGAGACATAATAAAGAATAATAGTATTTATATTAAAATTTATAATTATTTGTCATAGAAATGTTTTTAGCGAGTTTGTTTGTTACGTTTTAAAGTGCTGAAGCGATTATGATGAATTTTGATGGAAGACGAGACCGTGGAGACTGCTTTTTTATCCGGTCACACGGAGCTACTAAAATATAAAGATGTATTGTTTGCTCCAATTAGAGAGATAAGATAGTTCTTATCTCGATAAATATAATAAATTAACCCTATAAGTAGTGGTGGTAGCAAAACAACCTTTGTTGGGTCGACTAGCATTGAAAATTTAGTACCTACAACATAGTTTCTTTTTGATTGTGCTAAAAACTAGGTAATTTCTACATAACCAAGTAGTTAAAATTAATACGCATGCATTGCGCAGGGGCAAGTCGAGCACCCGCCGCGAGGAACAGTGGAGGCAAGTGTGGAGCGAATTGGAAGCGCTTGTACGGGCACATTCCGCGTCGCCTGCGCACCGTGCCTTGCTACGGGTGCTACTCGACTGCCGCGCACACAACAACCACAGTACAGACAGTAAGTGGCTCATTTTCAGTTATACTTCTATAAGTAACTTTGTGCCCACTACTTTGTTCGCGTGGATTTCAGAAGTAGGAAAATCAATGAAATAACCCACTTCTAGATGGTGTATCAAGATAAAACATATACTTCATTTTAAATGAGAGCTCCAGGAATACAATTGTAAAAATTGCATCCCATTTGGTACAGTAGTTTTTGCGTGATGCCGGACCAAACATATAGACAAGCAGAAAAATTCTAAAAAATATTGTCCCGGCTTCTATATATATTAATTTAATACCTCATATATTAATTTCTCAGCCGACTTCAAAAAGAAAGATTTTTCTCAATTCGTTTATGTATTTTTTTATGTTTGTTACCTCATAACTCTGTTGACTGTAAACTGATTTGGAAAATTCTGTTTTTATCTTAAAGTAATATATATACAGGTTGGTCCAATAATTTTTTTATCAAAATCGGTTCAGTAGTTTAGTTTTTTAATAAAAAAAAAAACTGATTTTACTACAATTAAAGTTGATTTTTGTGTGGAATACAATTTAATTATTATTAGTTCGTAATAAGCCTCTAGTCTATGAATACATTACATAACATGCTTGGGATCTCTGTCTTACTTGTATTTCTAGTTTGAAGAGTTCGCGCTTACATGGCTATGTCTCGGTTTGAATGGTCCCCACCATTCAAACCTAGACATAGCCATATGACAGTAAAATTACTGAGTGCAGACGCATAGTATCATAGCTAATATAGTGCTGTCAACCATCGAGAATAAATAACTCTCTTTTCGATTGATCGTATTCATAAACCATATTCTGTCTGCCAAGTTGAGAAATTAGTTAAAAAAAAAACACTTCAATAGTTACAATAAGTTTATAAGGGGTTTGACTTTTTTATAAGTAAGGGGGCAAGTTTTTATAGGCAACGGTTACCACTTTCCATCAGATGGGTCCTCAACTTGTTTGGTATTATATCTGTTGTATAAAAAAATTTATAAAATGTATTTAAATTTGTCACAGTTTGGTTTATAGTAATGTGGACTTTGATTTTTCGATTCAAAACAAAATTTCCATATATGAATCAATTAGCACAATAATGAAGTCGTATTTGATTTGTATTGTAGGCTTTACAAACGGCTCTGACATCGTTTGTGCTATTGTGTAATGCTTCCAAGTATCTAATAAGATTTATTTATTTATGTTGTTTGATAAAATGGCTTTTATTTTATTATTTTTTTTGGTTTCGTGATTGTTTCATTTAAATTTAACTACGACTGTGACAACTGGTAAAAATTCGTTGACCGTTTGAAATAATATCGATCATGGATGTTTAATAAAAATATTAAATCTGTATCAATATTCACATAATTCACATACAAATAGACGAAATTTCTAAATTGTATGTGCTGTTATTGTTTGCAAAGTATTCAAAGAACAGCTACACAAGTTGAAAAAAAAAATCTAAACTCAGAATCTTTATTTTTATATAAGTGCTCATTCACATATTTTAGTAAATATAGGTGCCGTCCCAACTTTAAATAATGGGACGGTAAATCAGATACTGAATTCACATAAAGGTACGTTTTTAGTTTTTATTTGTCCTTTATTTTTTATTAAAGAAAGTTTGTCCATTTACCTTACCATACTTTAATCCACAGGAATAGCAACACATGGGGGGGGGGGGATATATATATCATGGGCGATACAGTGTACTATTTTATGTTTATGGTACTGCTCATGTCTGTTGTGACGGTTACCACTCTCCATCAGGTGGCTGTCAACTTATTTGCCATTCTAAGTCACGTAAAAAATGCTAATAAAACTTATTTATTTAGTAGATTAAATAAATAATTCTGAACATATCACACCGCTTGCTAGCGCTGTTTAGTCCTAAACAAGTAAATAACTGCTCTAAATAATTTTAAGTAGATACATATGCAGTATAAGTTGCGGTGGTAATATATATTCAGTATTATGGGGTTTCTTTCCAGGTGAATCTCGTGCAACTGTGATAAGGGCAACAACAGACTCTCCTCTTTCACCAGTGGGTGCAGGCAATGGAGCTTCTAGTAGTACAGGTGACGTTTGGGCTCCTAGAAATGTCCTAGATGCCCTTCTAGGCGCCCCACGACCCCCCAGAAGACCCGACTTTGCCGGAAGAATGGCCGCCGGCAACAGAATCGCTACTCTATATCCACATTTACAACAAGACGTCGAAACGACACATTAATTTTATATAAATAAGTGATATAAATAAATAGATATGTTTTATAAATATACTTTTAATCCATCAACTCTTATTAACAATAAGTTTGTACACTCATTGCATTAATAAATAATTATCGAGGAAAAAGGGACAGTCATATATATAAATGAAAAATGCTACATTATAAAATTAATATCTTATATTTGTTCAATAAAACTACATGTGGGCCCGTGTGCCCGGCGCCCGGGTAACACGACCTTTGTATTATCTTGTTGCATATAAACTCTGCGGGCAGACTGTGTCATAAGGCAATGGGTGAGTGTGACGCGACGCCGCACAGGCGGCCTCGCCAAGGCATCCGGTCCGGATCTCACTGCGGCGACTCCGTGCCTCCCTCGCCGCCGAACTTTACTTGTTACAAATTATTGGAATGTCACACGGGATGCGAACGTTCAAACGTTAAAAATATTACAAACGAAACCTAACTAGGCCCCCTCGCGGGCCACTCCGCTCCGACGATACACTCACATTGAAATATTGTACAATCATACTCTCGAGGAGCGCGCCCGGTAAGTCCATCAAACGCATCCAAAATATTAATTAATACCCTATAAAACTTACAAAATCGTCCGGTACTTAAAACTTAACACTAAGTTAAAATTAAACGGAATTCAAAATAAATTACCTAGGTACAATATTTTAGTCTAAAAAGCTATTTATAGGCGCACGAGGGATGTTTGGTGGGAGTGCGCGAATGTCAGTGGGTAGCTTCTCGAAGTTTCTTTGCGACAGGCACTGGCGCGTCTGATGAGTCGCCCAGTGAGTTTTCCTCTGCTGAACTCGCCTCCTCTATTTGTCTGTTGTAACAAACATTCAATCTTAATATTCCTATTAATAATATTATAAATGCTAAAGTTTATAACGATGGACGGATTGTTGGATCTTTGTTACTTTTTCGCGTATAAACTACACAACAGAAACAAATGAAATTTGGTACATAGGATGATTATGTTCTAATTTAGCACATACGATATTTTATATATTGATTCCCGCAAGTGAAACCCCGAGAACAGCTAGATAAATATAAATAGAATTATTTAATTTAAAAATGTATTTTATTTTTTCGATATGATTTCGTGTGGAGTCCCTTTACAAGAATATGATTGTCATCGTTTTGTATGATAACGATGTTGAATAACAAATTTATTTACCGTTTGGCGCGCGGCGTACTGAAAGCGGAGTCCGAGTTGTCAGAGGGTGAGGCAGGGGTAGCGGGCGACGCGGCTTTTGCGTCCATTGAGTCCTCTGTACACGACGTCGTCGTATCCTCATTTACTGAATCTGCACCTAATTTTCCTGCAATATTCAAACATGATGCAATGACATAATAACAATAATTTGTTATTAATCTCATTATTTACAAAAACATCTCAAAAATGTTAAAGCCAGTCGAAGCCTTATATTTTTTAAAGTCGTGAATTTGTTATGGAACTGTCATGAGTGGGGGGAAAGGGATTGTTAGTAATGGAGACTAAAAACCCCATTGCTAGCAATATACCCAACCAGGTCGACCTCCTCGTGGTTCCCCCTGGAAACTATCATGGTTAATTCCTAATGAGTTCATCATGATGGGCTAACTGGCCTGTTTTCATTCTCATCGATCACCCTTCATTGGTGCCCCGCCAGCGTATCCCGTTAGCGCAGGCGGGGTTACTATTCCATTTTCACCCGTCAAAAAAAAAAAACTGTCATGAGAGTACTATACCGTAACGAGCCAATTCCGATACAATATGCATAATTCTTATGACGAATTATGCATATCGGATCAGAATATGTGACATAATCATATAACATTAGACATATTGCCAATTGAATAAATTGAGAATCTTCTTGCAAAATGTAATATAATTAATTAATTATTGTTATTATAACATTGAAAAATATGTCATAACGGTCAGTATTCTTACGATTTGTATATTTTACGTACTCGCAGTGACCTAGACACATACCTACATATTTTCCTAAAACAATGTAACAAATAACAATGGAACCCACAAGTCGGCACACGGAAGGCTATTAGACAGCGCTAGCAGTTATCTTAGGTAGCATAAATTACACACCCACTCAAGTTTCTTATTGCTTTTAACACAAAATTAAATTGTTTTCATCCATCAGGCGGACTGTATGTATGGACATTTAATAATTTACCGTAGTACGGACACATATCGTATGATTATATCGTCACGATATAATAGGACCGTAAAGTATATGTAATTCTTTGGAGTTATATTTAATTTTTTGCGACAGTTTTGTGGACATCCACGGTATGATAGTGTTGTGAACATGAGCTGCAATTTAAGGCCGTGTCAATACATTTGCTCTTCTATTATATCGTCGCGGTAAAATCGTATAGTATTGTACGTTACGTTAAATTATAAATTAAACGCATTAACGGAGTTTTGTGGACTGTTATGTCGCTATATATATATATATATATATATATATATATATATATATATATAAAAAAAAAAGTTATTGCCCTTCTCCACCCTAAATATGCGATTGGTTAAGTTGTTAATGCGTCAATAGCTAACAAAAAAAAAGCAAATACATTTAAATTATAATATTAGCAAGGATGGAAAATTGTATACACTTACCATTGCCATTAGTGGATGGTGGTTCAAGATTACTCTCGTCACTGGGTAATGGTGAGCCGCCGTTTGTGGGTGCAGTTAAATTTGGCTGTTTCCCAAGTAGTTCTGGCTGCAAATCTGATACTATATTATGTGTCCATAACGCCAATTCCACCATGTGTGGGGACCATTTCTTGCCACAGCCATTTTGTTCCTTAAATTAAAAAATATTACTAGTTTTTTTTTATTAAATAAAATTCGGACATATTGGCTTTTTATAATTTTCAATACGTATTTTTGTTATGAAGTGCTGCTTCTCAGCAGAAATAAATGCATTATGTTTTAGTCTGAATGATGGCAACTCAGTTAGACAATACTTGTCGTTTCTAATAATTTTAAATTCATGTTTGGATTGTAAAGCATATTGTTCCTTGCTTTGTGCTTTGAAGAGCCTCTAGATTCCGATAGTGTTTAGAGTCATGACACGAGAAGGTGCTACCTCCATAATTCCATACAAGTAGTAGCTAGTAGCAGCAGTAGTGGTAGTAGTATTAATGACAATAATATAAAGGCTTAGCTCCTTAATCCTTAAAACTAGAAATTCATGATGCTCTAGACAACATACTATAATTGAGATGTCCATGTATTGTATATCTACAACAGCTATAGTTACTTCTTATCCTTCAGAAGAGTCCTGGCTTGTTTTCCAATTTCAGAAGGATATTTATCGAGGGAAGAAAACGTCGATTTTCATATATGTATAAAATTCCTGTCCCTCTTTTAAACTTAAGTAATTACTTTCTCCATTTTTTGGGAGTAATGAAACTACCAGTTTTCTGGGCTAGTGTAGTATAAATGTATTTATACACTAGCTCTTAGCAGCTAAAAGGCTAAAAGTAGCCTATGTTCTTTTTTATCCCACATAGGTGGTACCTGTATACTAAAGTTCCTGTATATTAAGGATTAAGCCGTGCTAAGATGTGACACACAAATTAATATGCATTTAGAATATAAGTAAATATTACTTACCTTATTTAACCTATCACAGACACTCTTAATGTGGTTTACAAAATTGAGGTATTCCTTGGCAGTGTAATCGCTCCCTTCCATCTCCGGGATGGCTTGCAAGCACTCGTCAGCCATAAACGGTGCTATGTCAGGACTGGCAGCTGCTAGTAGTGCTGATGCTGTCGCTGTGCCGACTCCCTTCAGGTTGCTCAGTGCTGTCATAGCCGATTCAATGTTAGGCAATTTGCGAAACGCTTTTTTCGTCTCTTGCATTACGGCTCTTGGTGTGTTCACTTTTATAAGATATGATAACTGTGGATAAAATTTCCCCCTCTGAAACAAAAATTGAAGTATTATCTTTTAAACTTTTGCGATCCATGTTTTATTTTTTTTTATACAACTTAGCTGACGGCCCACCTGATGGAGAGTGGTAACCGTCGCCTATAGACATGAGTAGTACCATGAACATAACAGAGTATACTGTTTCGCCCATAATACCCCCCATGCGTTGCCATTCCTGAGGACTTAGATGTTATTCCTCTGTACCCTGTAAATTCATGCCATACCCCACCCTTCAAACCGAAACAGCCATGCAAACACACATGAACGGGACAGAGGTACCCAAGCAAACGACTTTGTACAAAATCTCCCTCTTTATAATATTACTAAAAAAATCCGTTAGAATAAAATAGTTATATATTTTACTCCCGTCAATATTAAAAACCATTTCCTATTGAAATTTAATATACATTGCTTTTTGATATAAATAAGTTATGTTTCTACTTTTTGCAATTACAAAGAATACATTTTATTTACGCATTTTACCCATTTTATCCATATAAATAAGGATGAAAGTATCCTACGTGTTAGTCCGTGTTATGATATACTTATGTGCCAAATGTCAATAAAATCCAATAACCCATTCAATATAATTGAGCAATAACGTTGAAATGTCTTTAAAACTAATAATAATATTCATTAAAATATAATGGAACATTAATAGAAAAATAGGTCTTCCATCGAGAAGGAAGTTCCGAAACCGTCTATGTTGTTTTATGTCTACGCTATGTTTTCGCTAATTCTTAATATATTTTTTTGTCACTAACATACGGACACAAGGACTGACGGAACTATATCTAATATAGAATTGGTGACCTGTCAAACTGTGTTCAACGGCACATATGGGGCTTCAACGGCTTCAGTATTTGAATATAAAAAATAATTAGAAGTTTTGACTTAACAAAGTGACTTCGCAGACAGCCAGGAACTAGTAGTCAATAAAGATAAATTATTCATCAATAGGCCATTTCTTTTAAAGAAACGTATCAGACATGATATTATTCGTGAATAATTTATATAGAAAGATTGTTAAGTTATGATAATTATAATACCTAATGTTATTGTTTATATTTATAATAAGTTTACTATTGTAATCTTTTGGAGGAAACAATAAAGAGTATCTACCTATCTATATCTACGATTAAAAAAAAAACGAAGTGCGTGAGTTTTAAACGCACCTGTAACTCATGTTCAGTGCTTTTCATACTACCACCTATTGGTTTGTTTTCGCAATCGACCAAAAATAGACCTATTCCAATAGTAAACTCCTAAATGTATTCGTCAAATATATCACACAACGCCATCTAGTCCCAAACTAGGTGAAACTTGTATTATAGTTTAACGATAGTATTTTATTTTCTAGTTAATAATCGCGATAAGTATTTTATTTTCTATATAATAAGTAATTTAAAATATTCTTCCACGATTGTTATGCGACTACTGATAACAAGTACGTGTGCAATAACAACTGAAGTGTCCCTGATATTAAAATGTCTTTTTATTAGCTCATATAATTATACAGACAAATATTTATACGGTTGTTTGTTGTGTGTCTTGCTGTTTGTAATACCTATTGTAATATGTGCAGCACAATTACGCCAATAAAGCTCTTTCTTCAAGCTAGCAAGCTATCTTGACAACGTTAAGGGCCAAAATCAGAACTAAAAGTTTTTTATCCTTTTAGAAATGTTTGTTTCCAAAATTGGCCGATAATTGAAGCTTAACGCTAAACAACGTGCCTAAATGCTGTGTTACGAATGCTCGACAGTCGCAGATCTCACGTGATTTACACGGGTAAAACAACCGGATAAAAATGGTTTCTCATAAAATTTTGCTATATTTATTTATTGTGTACAGTTCTGATGAACAATGTTGTAATACCTTCAAGTGATCATTAAATTTATACACTTCCAATTCGAATTAGAACTCTAAATTCTGTTAAAAAATGTAAAGAAATAAAGAAACATAAGTTTAAGCTATTTATAATAATACATTATGAACTAGACTTACAGCTTGTTTCCATTTCATAAGTTGCACCAACTCTTCATGTATCATGTGGGCATCTTTGCCGCGGGACTTAATCTTCTTTGGTAGTTCATTCTGGTACCTGAAATCAAAATAGTCACTAATTGTAATTCATCATTATGTTGAGATGGACATGCATAGAAGCATGGATATTTTTATTAAAATTTATGTGTAATAGTAAAACAGTTGGTTAGCTTTTTATTATTTTATATCTTTTTTTTATACAACTTAGAATGGCAAACAAGCTGACGGCCCACCTGATGGAAAGTGGTAACCGTCGCCTATAGACATGAGCAGTATCATGGACATAACAGAGTGTATTGTTTCGCCCATGAGAGCCCCCATGTGTTGCCATTCCTGAGGACTCAGGTGTTATTCCTCTGTACCCTGTAAATTCACGCCATATCCCACTCTTCAAACCGAAACACAGCCATGCAAACACAACTGCTTCACTGTAGAAACACGAATGGGATAGAGGTACACAAGCAATCGACTTTTGTACAGTCTCCCTCTGGTATATGTGAACATACATCCAATGTACCTAACGTAGGTATTTATAGAAATTGTTATAGGCAATCGAAAAGGGTAAGCTCTCGATCGTATTGATAAGATAAAATGCCGTAACATGAATTTGATCGTTCTCACAATGTTACCATAGATTAAATAACGATTCAACTGTGTGTATTACGAGTAACATTTTAGTAAAAACAGGAAAAAAATATGGATACTTAGCATCGTCTACGTTTTACAAACATTGCGATATACATGTATACGTAATTTGAATGTTGATATTTGTTTGTAATTTTTTTTTATTATTTTTCTTTATTTTTTTTTTTAGCTGTTTAATTATTTCTTGCTTCTTTTATATCTTCTCGTTGGGTCGGTATTTAATAAATTTTGTGTTTATTTTTTATCTCTAATTAAAAATGACAGATGTACTAAAATTAACTATGTATATGTCATTAGAGAATGCGTACATTGCTTATATATCTTTAACAATTCTATAGACAAATGGTATCCTTAAATTAAAGGCAAAGTAAAGAGAATATAATCATAAGCTGTGACAAGTTATTCTTAATTATATATAAAAAGAAATCAAAAACAAAGATTGACTAAATGAACATAAAAAAAATTAAAGTAAATATAATACTACAATATTATATAATTTTAGAACATATTTAAGAGTCTAAATGATTGAGTCTATAATCAAAATAAAAAAAATATTTCTATCATCATTAAATTAATACAGAATCAATACAAGCAAATTCAATAGATTCCAAAAAGAATCATCAAAATCCATTTTTATTTGTTGAAGATATTGTGTATTATACATATACAAAATATATTATCGCATTGAATATCTGTTATGTAGCGATTATAAATTTTATTAAAAATATGTAGACAACTTTTAATTTTAAACAAGATTTTAAATAATTAAAGATTAAGCCCTATAAAAAAATCGATATCAGTTGTAACAAAACCAGTTATTTTGATTTAAAAACTAAACTACTGAACTGATTTTGATAAAATTTCTATAAAACTAATCTGTAAGTACATGCTTTCAAATAAAACAAAAAAGTATTTTCCAAATTAGATCTGACGGAATCATAAGGTAACAAACAAAAAAAAATACAACCGAATTGAGAACCTTCCTCTTTTTGAAGTCGGTTGAAAACGAGTGATAACATTTTAATTAAGAACGTGGAGATTCCTTCAAATCAGTTACTGTTATAAACGTGAAAATTTGTTAAAATTTTTGTGTGTTTATTACTTTTACAATCTCGTATAAACGGCTGGACTGATTTCAATGAAATTTAATATATCTATAGATAAAATATATCCTAGATTAACATTTTGGATATTTTTTTACATAATTCATAGTGGCGCGGAAGTAGGTTGGTATTATATTTGCGAAACCAATTTAGGCAAAATTTTGCCGTGTGGTCTTGGCATAAAATGGGCCACCCCTTCCTTTCCCGTGAATCTTGTAAGAGGCGACTAGGGGAATTTAATAGTCAAGGGATGGGCAGCAGCGTCCCTCGTAAATATCATTAAAGCCTAATTGTGATTTCCAATCCGTCCGCCAAATGTGACAACTGCTGGCAAAACCTCCTCCTCCTTAGGGGAGGCTTCAGCAGTGGGCAGTTAACAGCTGATATAATAATTCAATTGCTACAGACATAGGTAGCGGTAATTAATATCTAAGTTCTATAGAAATAAGGTAAATTGATAATGTCATCAACATTCCTCTTGAGTATCTTGTTATTGTAAAATAATAATGTAGCAAGCGAAACAGGAAAATTTTGATGCTGTATTGAGAATTATACAAGTACCTACCTACACAAACAGTAGTACGTAAATGGGGTAAAGTAACAATGCAATAATAACATGGGTAAGAGTATATAACGTAATAATATATATATATAACCGTAGATAGGTACCTATATAAACATTCCAAATTAAATGTAAGCTTTAAAATGAAGGGAGAAAAGCCTTGCGCTTGTTAATTACCATATTTTTAGGGTTCCATAATTAAATGTCTAAAACGGAACTTTTATAATTTTGTTGATCAATCTTACAGCCTAAATTCGTAGTGAATTATACGTACGAGTACATCAAATTTATTGGATTTTAGTATCAAGTTTTATAAAATGATATATCGTTAAAAACTAATAAAATAAGAAATGTTCTGTTATTTTTTATATACCAGTTTATCAGCCTTTTTAAAATTAATACCTGTCTGTTAATAAGAAAACTGTTGAATAGGTATCAATGACTTAAGATATTTTCTACAAAAAGACACCAATTTCAGTCGTGGCAAAATCCATTATTTTAATAAAAAAAAAACTACTAAATTGATTTTGATAAAATTTCTATTAGACCAGTTTGAAAATATATCCTTTCCGATACAAAATTAATTTTTAAATGAGTTATAAAAATATTGACTGAATTCTGAGCTAATAAACATAAAAACACAACCGTGTTAAGAACAACTTTCATTTTGAAGTCTGTAAATTTTTTTTTTTGTATATTTTGTCAAAGTCATGAAATATAGCACGAATAAAGAGAGTCAACTAATACAAAACGTGAAGTTTTTTTATAAAACATTGTATATTTTTGAAAAGATCTACTAGATGGTGTTGGTATCGAGTAATAACGACATGTTTCGGTAATTATCGAAAATGGCGGGAACGGTGAACATTTAGTTTAAATTGAAGAGTTGTGGTATATAAATACGCGATGGGACAATACGTGTGTTTGTTATGATAGTGTTGTGCTTAAAATATTACTTGTAGAAAAATAATAGTTTTTGAGTTACGAGCCTCTCATACATGACACTGACAAAAATGGTCCTAAAGGTGGCCATTGGTAAAAGAAGTAATTTTCGATTGTGTATTCGAAGTCGCGGGTAAAGTTATTAGGAAATAAATTACCTGACTATATAACTAGATGTTTTAACTAATTTGTACAAAGTAAACCATATTACTATGTTTAATCAGTTACATAGATATAAGTATTTGATATTAATATCTACGGAACCCTAATAATACGTGTTCAATACGCTCTTGACCGGATTTTTGTCACTTTTTGAAGAGGGAAAAGCTAGGCGACAGCCGCTTGGTTAGTGGGCAAGAAGTAACGAGGTGGATTACTTACGTCCCGTACAAAGGCTTGTCATAAGATTATAAGTACCAACATGTGTATGGTGACATCTGCCTTTTTAATTACCGTAATTTATTATATTAGGTATTTGGTAACAAATTCAAGTAACATATTTATTAAATTATTTAAGAGTACAGTTTGATTATAAATTTATACTAATATAAATATTAGTATAAATGTATAATCAAACTCTATTTAATTGAATCAATCTAATCAAACTTTACTTGACTAAATACTAATATCAGAGATACTTTGTTTTCACGATTAAGCGGTGAAATCGATTTTGATGAAATTTGGTATTTTCTTTAAATTAATCCATAGTGGATCAAATGGGACAAACGGATTCGCGGTATAATATTATGGAATAGCTTGCCATAATAAATAATGTAAGTCATCCCTGAGTACCTAAGTTTTTTGTTTACTCGAGGGCATGGATGTGCTCTACCCAAGTAGACGCAATATTTCTTTATTTCTTATGTCTAAGAAAATTTTTGTTTTACTTTTATTTTATATCGTATTTTCTGTTAAAAATTCATAACAAATACTATTATAAATTCTTTGTTTAATTTAATTATTATTATTAAATTTAGTAAATATATTTTTTTTTAATTTAATAATTACTAAAATATAATTATGTATTTTAGTTCTCAAATGCATTAACTATTTCACACTTAACCTAGAAATATGAATATTATTTTGATTAGCACATTGAATCAGTTATTTATTTGTAAAAAAAAAAAAATTAAATCTAGGTCAGTGTAATTATAATATTAAAATATGAATTTTATAACAGGTAACATAAGATAAACATTTGCGGATAAAAATATTTAAGTTACTGTTATTATAGACAACAACTTAATTGAAAAGAAAACTATTATAAGTATACCCGTATAACCTAAATATATGACTCATTTGGTGTTTAATAAAAATAAATGAAATAAAGAATAATTTGGATTAATATGTAGATCTCAAAACCGTTTTTGTTTTTACATAAATTAATTTGGAAATATTATTTAGATTGCAAGCAAAAGTTAAAGAGCAAGTCACCATTTTGAACGGATGTGAGCCATAGTCATTCGTACTTAACAAAGCATTGTGTTGTCAACTATGTGGCTACAAATATAAAAAACATGTCGTGTACATTATTAAGTATTATATATTTATAAGAAATGGACGAAATTAACTACCATTCACAGTTGTACGTACACATAAATGCATTTAAACGAGTCGTAATATTAAGGACAGCCACCATTTTATAACGCTAGAGCGATGCGATATTTTTCCCCACACTGGCTTCAGGAAAAACGATCGTGTCAATTTGACATCGATCCCACGTGACGCAGTGATTTTAATGAGCAGTCCGCGACTAGAGATGCAGTCCGCGAGGGAGGTAGCTATCAAATCAGTTTGCACGGATACACACACAATACAAGTTCATTGACACGCCACGGCCGCATTTTCTCCTTTCAAAGACGTTCGTACTTACCAATTGTCCAATTTTACAAGCTCCTCGGGCTTCTTTGTTTTCTGTTCAGCTTTAAGTTTAAGTGCTTGTGGATATAACTTCAATACACTATCAAATTCTTTTGCATCAGCCTCCAGAAAGAAAGTAGACGTGTCTTTCGCGGTAGCCATTGTGAACGTTCTAAATGTACAACACTGCGTATTTAGTTTAGCTATAGCGCCGAACTCGACGCGGCGGCAGCACCTGGCCAACTGGGCGCCCTCTCCCCACTCGACGCCATCTTGTTGACTAAACCTCGCAGTGACGTTCAATAATAATATTCGAAATGAGCTATTTTCTCCCGGATTTTGAGTTATAATTCAATTAATTAGGCATAATATGTATTTTAATATGGCTTTTTAAGTATTTTATATAGATTTATTTGCTTATTGTCACTGATGTGGTGTATAAAAAGCGAAAATTGTACTCACTCGACATCACAAGGTTATATCGGACGTGCGTTGTTTCGTGGCGTCGGACATTTGTCTGGCATCCACCCACTGGGAATAACAGGATGGAAAAAATAAATTCCATTTCTTTTGTAAAATCACAGCTTATCATCAACTTGTTATTATGATATGAGACAAACACAATATGAACACAATAATCACTTTCATGTTAGTCACGGCGACCTCGGAGTAATATCAATTTCCTTAAAACGTGACGCAACACACGACACCGTTCTACCGAAACGACTTTGGTAAACACGCATATTTTCCGTTGCATTGCAGTACACACTGAGCTCGGAGTAGTCATGAAGTAGTAACTAGCGGTGTACATAAGGCATTTAGGTAGTAGGACGTACATATCACCGGGGTGGAACGTCACCAAACCAATCGGCTTTGTTGTTTTGATAGATCGCCATGTGCTCTGCTCCCTCTTTAATTTTCGTGTTTGTTACCTACCTGCTCGTTGTTTGATTGATCTCTAATTATTCTTTTTGAGCTATCCATTTATTTATCAGGATCACATGAATAAATTTACTGTATCCTCAAATAATGATCAGGATAGGTAATTAACCTATATATAAAAAATATTACGATTTTAAACTTAATTCAAATAAATAGCAAATTATCTGTATTACGGATGGGTTCATGTTACTTTTAAATTTTGATTTATCTAAAAATGATTACTATGTTTAAAGTTTTATGTAAGTACACGTTGGATTTAATTTGCAAAAGTAACTAGTATCTCTATCCTTCCTATTGCTTATATTATCTCTTACATATATCACTCAAAGACGAAAGAACTCGTTAAATTACTAACAGTTTCTAAAAATGTCTAAGCACTTGCTTTGTAAATTTCATCAAAATCGTTATAGTCGTCGCGATCGTGGATCCGTGTGTACGTGATCGTGAAGTACGTGTATAGATACAGTATACCTCATACAATATGTGCTTGTATTCAGAATATTATAAAAATTACCTAACCAGCATTTTCATGAGACTCCACGTTATCATTCGAAATAATTTTCTAAATAGATTCTACATTATTTTAAAAATATTGTGGCATTAAGTATGAATATTTGTGTTCAAATAATTCTATATATATATAAATGTTAATTTTATAACAAACAAATCTTTAAGAAGTTCGATTAGTAATCATAAAATTTGACATATATCTTTGGAATTAAAGTGGTATCTATAGACTATTTGTTATAATGATTACACGGGCAAAGTCGCAAGTTTAACTATGTGTTATATAAATTATTATTATTTACCAATACGTTACTACCTAAAACAATCTCTCTTCTTATCGCTAACAATATACCTTGCCGAGTCAACTTACAGTCGTCCTGAAACCACAAAACTTAATTTATTGTGAATTCATCAGACGACTTCATCTTTGCCTATCATCCTTCACTGGTAGAAGTATAAAAGCTATGGTTCACATACGGATAACGAAATCGGATAAAAAGTTAACCAAATTAATAAAATAAGTGAAACAAATGTGGGTCGAATTTTGATACGACTGGTTCCAAAAGTTAGTATATATATATATGTAAAAATTGTATTAAGTTTCTCGTCTATATAAAAGACTTAGAATAAAAAAATATAAACAAAAATTTACTATTGGCTGTGTCTGGAAAAAACAATCCTATAGAATCTTAATTGTCTATAAAATTTGACTACACTAAAAATAATGTGACTACACTATTGTAAACATACAATATATAAAAAGAATCGAATTAAGAGTAAGTAGTTTTTAAACTTTACCGTTGGAACATTCAAACGAGGGGTCTTCTAATGGAGTTTTCTATTCTGTATATTCTGAGCTGTCAATTTAATTATCATTATGTTTAATATTATTACAAAAAAATGTAATTCTATCACTACGAACGAAACGAAATTTCAATCGGTTGATTTACTCGTGTAAATCATTGCCTGAGGCACGTTATACTAGTACTCGCGATCTTTATTAAGGACTAAATGTTGCCGTTGAGTCATTCCAATTTCGCGGACGCAAAGCTTATTCAATTCGGGTAAGTCGCTTGCTCATTCGTGTTTTCTTTTTCAGGCCTTTCTCTCTGTTTTTCTAGTGTGCATTCAAATCGATGATAAACGTGTCGAAAATGACCTCTGATACCGTTGGGTCGCCAGATAACTGTGAATAACCCTTCAGAACTTAATATTGTTAGATACTAGATTGTACCTGCGACTTTGTCCGCATCACTGAGATATTGACCGCAATAAAAAGTAGGCTATCTCCTCCATTTCATATAATGCAATAATACGTACTCGTATTATACTCTAGTAATAGGATTAAGTAAATTTCGTAGTAATTGGTTTAATTATAAACTCACTTTCACATTTAAAATATTAGTAGGCGTAATTGTATAGTGATGACCACTATAATTATTCAGCCAGGATTGTCACACTTCAAGCCGAAGACCTATCTACTTCCTCTTTCGTTTTCACACGGTCCCATAACTCGCATACAAAATTGGAGTTATTTTGTAACACCAATGTCTTGTTAAACAATCACCACGACAATATACGAGTAGTAAGTTTTTTTTAATGGACGTTTTTTTGATGGTATGGGACCCCTCCTGGCGCTAACGGTGTAGGCATCCTGGTGAGGCATCAGTCAGGGATCATAGGCGAGGATGATAGCCATTTCCTCAAGAAATAACCATGTTCATTTTCAGGGGGAACCGCGTGGAGGATGACATGATAGGGTAACATATATTGCTGACAATGGAGCTGCTAGATCCCATTACTACCAATTCCGTGAACACATTTTTTCGTTAAAAAGTCCATTTACCTGATATATTATAACGCTATCAGCAATATCTCTATGTACTTAATATGGTCGTGTCAATAGATAACACTAGACATCGACAGATTAGATATCAGTATCGATGAGCATGAACATAAAGATGTATGGATTGATGTCAGGACAGAAGCGGTTGTCGTTCATTCTGTATGCATTCATACACCAATAATATATTATGTTTCACAAAATAAAAACCGACTTCAGTTGTGGTAAAACCAGTTATTTTGATTTATTGAATGGATTTTAATATAGTTTTTATGCTATTTTATTTTCTGATAAATATAGACTTTTCCACATCAGTTTATATATATATATATATATATATATATATATATATATATATATATATATATATATATATATATATATATATATATATATATATATATATATATATGACAGAATTATGAGATAACAGACATAAAAGAAATTACAACCGAATTGAGAATCACCGCCATTTTTGAAGTCGGTTGAAAATACCGACTTGGCCAGTTTTATATTAAATTGATATCCAAGAAGTACATAAAAGTATATCACATTCTCCAACGAATGTAGTTGGAAATATATAAACATATTATTTTTAAAAGTTTCTGAAGTACAAAGTATATTTTAATGGTAATATAACTGCATTGACTGGGAAAAAAGGGTTGTTAATAATAGGGCCTAATAGCCCTATTGTTAGCACAATTCTCTAGTAGGTCGACTTTCCCGCGGTTCCTCCTAGAAACCATCGTGGTTAATTCTTATTGAATTAATCACGATGGGCTAACTGACCTGCCTTCATCCTTACTTATCATCTTTCATTGGCATCCCGCCAGCGTACACCGATAGCGCAGACGGGATTACCATTCCATTTTCACCCATTAAAAAAAACAGGTGGACTATCGTCTGTTTTTGTCGATTTATACTCGACTAGTTTAGAGCTCGCTGTATTGAGATCGTGACTGTGTGAAATATAAAAATATTCTTTAGACTGTCCGAAACAAATCAACAGTAGGGCACTCTCCTAGTCCTTCACATAAAATATTAAAGCTAAGAGTAGGCTAATATCCTTCGTATTAGTCTTATCATTCATCATTTCATCTGTTTACTGTCCACTGCTGAACATAAGCCTTCCCTATAAGGGTAGTTTTGCCAGTAGTTGCCACGCTTGGCATGCAGCTTGGCGACTACAGTTAGGCTTTTACAGATGTTTTGAGAGGAAGGTTGCTGCCCATCCCTCTATTATTAAGGCTTCTTAGTTGCCTCTTACGACACTCACGGGAAAAGAAGGGGTGGCCTATTCTATGCCAGGACCACACGGCCAATCGTATTAGTCTATTACCACGCTAAATAGGCTTAGCGGTATAGATTTCATTAGGGTCACTAATCTAGATTTTTTAATGGATGATAATGGGATGGTAACCCCCGCCTGCGCTATCAAGCGGTGTGCCAGTGAGCAATGATAGGTGAGGATGAAAGTAGGTCAGTGAGCCCATCGTGAATTTTTGACGATGCCATTAAGAATTAACTACGATCGTTTCCAAGGGTGACAGTATGGAGGTCGATCTGATAGGGTACACTGGTAGCAATAGAGCTGTTAGACTCTAATACTGACAATCCCTTTCGCTCCTAATCTAGATATTGAAGATAGCTTGTAGCTATTCTCGTGATGTCAATTTATTAAGGAGAATTTTTATCAGTAGATATGTTTTATGATATATACTAATTACTGTTAATAAAATTATTCATTTTCTTTATACAAAAATCTATTTAGTCAGCTCGTGAGGGATTTGAACCCCCGACCACCTCTATTATAAATCAAATGGGCGCTCTAACCAGCTGAGCTAACGAGCCAATATGATTCATTTTGTATTTATCAATGCTATTCTACCTTGTTTTCCTGTTACTTGTTTATTGTTATACTCGGTTCGTTGCTTCATATTAATACTATGACACGACGATATTGCGTACATATTTATATATTACTACTACTCCAGAAACCAAAGATATCCAGCTCGCAACTATATTCCAATCAATTAAATTTAAAATGATAGAAATTTTATTAATATCAATATTCTGTGATTAGAAAATCCTTACCTTAAAACTAATGATAGGGTCTCAGAAA